AAATAAAGAAGTCCTTGTCTTGAGTATTTTTTATTTTCTCCTTCATTCCACTTCACCTCTATTTCTTCTCTCCTTCTTTCCCAACTAGGGATGACAATTGGGGGGGGGGGGGGGGGGGGGGGGGGGGGGGGGGGGGGGTTGACCCGATGTTTGATTTCTCCCGTCGGTTTGAAGATCAGCGGCGGCTCTTCCCTCGTTCCTCCATTCCATACGTCTCTTAGAGGAAGCTGACATTGCGACTCTCCCTCCGACGACTATCCAAGCCGTGAAGAATTCTTTCTTCCACCTTAACAAAGATTGTAACCTCTCATAGCAGCTTCTCCCTCTATATGCACCATCTTCCGACTTAGCCTAGCTTATCCCTCCATCTCCTTCTCGACCTATCCTGACTTCATCAGCAGCATACGTGATGCATTACCATTCTCGGCGACCATATTATTATTGGTTTTACTTATTGTTTAGGAATCGTCTTAATTATTAAAGTATTTAAGGTAGTTTCTTTAGGATTAAGTTATCGTATCCTTGTAGGATTGGTAAGTGATTAGGTTTTCCGGTTCTACTATAAATACGTACTTGGTTTCTACGTTTTAATCATAAATCAAAGAAGAATAAATCAGTATTTTCAGTTTCTTTTAGTTTTAGTTCGTACGATTACGCGATGGACGAACCGATCATCCATTAATTGGTATCAGAGCCTGGTTCGACGGAACCGAGCTCTTACCAGCTCCCAGGGCAGACATCGTCGACGTTCAACCACCAGCGTCGGGAAGAGGTCATGTGCGCAACCACGATCCGCAGCAACAAGGTGGACAGATCGCCTACCGAGGCGCCACCAACGAAGAAGCTAACCGTAGCTTTGCCATTTGAGATCCACGAACCGCCGGATAAATCTCCTATGCCAATCAATGCCAAGGTCTCTTTTTCTACTGATACCGGAGAGTGAAAGTCATCAACCCTTCGACTCGACACAACATTCCATCGAGAACCAGTGGTTGCCCTAGTCGATGGTTTTTCGACGCACAATTTCATAAACCACGACGTCGCCAAGGGTTTAGCCTTGCCGGCTACACCAATTCCTCCGTTCAAGGTCAAGACTGCAAACGGGGAATTCTGGGGTTCTGAGCGTTGTTACAAGGTCGTTCCAATTCACGTACAAAGTGTATGGCTTGAAGTAAACTCGTACGAACTTCCGATTCATGGGGTTGATCTCGTCCTCGGCCATGAGTGACTCAAACAAGTGGCAACGGTAACAACGGATTGGGAAAATTAAGCTATGAGTTTCTGGTGTAATGACGTAAGGGTCACCGTGCGAGGTTTTTGCGAGGCCACCAAGAGGATTGCGGAGTTCAAGAAGCTTCAATAAGCGCGATCGACGGCGTCGTGAAGCAGCTCCGACGACTCTAGCACTGTCGCACGATGTTGAGACTGGAAGCTTCGTACCGCCGCGATCGATGGCGGTCACGCCTGAAGGGGGGAGGCGCTGCTGTCGTAAGAAGAAGAGGAAGAAAAGACGTGAAGTTGCTGCCCGGGATGTCATACCGACTGCGCTGCCAACGTCGGTCGTGGCTTCTGTTCGGGAACTAGCTCCTTCAAAGCAACTGGAATCCGCCGCTGCCGAGAAGTTTCTGGTTGCCCCGTCATCACTGTAGTGGTTAACGTTGCAGGAGGTTCCGACTGCTGTGGTCGAAGCTGCTGCAAGTACTGCTGCCTCTAACACAAGACTGGTTGGGATACTACAACCCAATTGGAAATCGAGGAAGAAATCGCTGGAAGGCGGTGACCGCCAAGCAACCACGATGAACGGTTGTTCCGTTCGCGGCCGTATCGGCCCAGATATGGGAGGATTCGTTGGTGAATTGCTGTACGAGACCGATTCGATGCATTCTGAGGATGGAGATTGGGAAGTTCTTATCGACTTGGCGGGGAACGCATCCCTTGGAAAGTGGGCCGGTAAAATGATGTTGGACATGGGTGTGGGACTTGTCAATTACCTCCAAGAGCTTGACCTCATGCAAGATGGGTATGAGCTACAAGTACGTGGGCATGGGAAGTTAAAATGGGGAGATGATGATTGGCTTCATTATAAGCCCATGCCGGGGACACAAGAGGGCAAAGAGGAAGTTGAGGTGAGAATATTTGATGGGGCACTATGGGGTGTCTCTTCCATCAATGTCGCCAAGCATATGGGTGACAAGGACCAGGACACGAAGTCGGAGAGTCACCATTTTGCAGCATATGATATCGGAGTAAGAGGGTTGCTAGAGATTGGAGCTACCGGCTATGGGAGCTATGTTCGTATTCCTGGCCGCAACTGGAAGTATCGCAAACGCGATCATCATCATTTCACCCTCCTGTCCTCCTACTGCAAGCTACGAGGAAACTTCTTCTTCATCGATCCGGGTTGAGATGACGCTTAAACTTCGGGGACGAAGTTCTTCGAAGGGGGGAGGATTGATGCATTACTATTCTCGGCAACCATATTATTATTGTTATTATTATTGGTTTTACTTACTGTTTAGGAATCGTCTTAATTATTAAAGTATTTAAGGTAGTTTCTTTAGGATTAAGTTACCGTATCCTTGTAGGATTGGTAAGTGATTAGGTTTTCCGGTTCTACTATAAATATGTACTTGGTTTCTACGTTTTAATCATAAATCAAAGAAGAATAAATCAGTATTTTCAGTTTTTTTTAGTTTTAGTTCATACAATTACGCGATGGACGAACCGATCGTCCATCAATACGCGATAAAATCCTGAGATGTCTTTCTTTCACCTACACTCGACAGAAACAACAAGACGACAACCCCTTAGACAATCCTCTGCCTCCCTTCGACGGGGCAGTCCTGCGACGACGATCGTATCTACTGACAACAGAATCCCTCTGCCGACGAATCGATTGCATCGGCTTCTCCCTCCGCCAAGATTCTTCCTTACGATCGACGAAGTCACTGATGTGGCTAATCACCTTGAATGGGTGATCAATCGGTGAGATTTCTTTGCTGACAAAGTTAGGGTTCGGCTAGAAATGGTGATTTGGGTTCATTCGAGAAGATTTGAAATTGAGGTGCATGCTTTTTCAATTAAGGAGTCTTGAACAAGTGAATATTAGGGTCTGGTTTGAACTTTGGAGAAAGAAGATGGCATGAAAGCCACAGATGAATTAGAATCGAAAAAAGTTTAGATCTCAGGTGGGAGGAGTGAAGAAGAGACGGGACGGAAAGTGGAAGTTTGGAAGGAGATTGAGTTTTGGTTGGGAGTTTTCGACTTCACAGGAACAGGAGAAAGGGGAAAGTTATTGAAAACAAATAAATACCTTTTTGCGTACAAAATAATTAGAAAATAAATGAGGGTAAATCAGTAATTTCTTGTACTATTTAACGCTTAAATGAGGAAAATACTAACAGAAGGGTATATATTTGTTACATGTTCTTAGTTAAGGACATGTTTGTGAAAAAATGTTATAAAGGGATATGTTTGTTTACTTGCCATAATAGAGTGGTATATAATCTTATTATCCTTTTTTTAAATTATGAGCTAATTTTTTGGCCAACGCTCCACCACGGTAAGAAACTGACGATTTATTTGAAATCAAATAATTCAAAAAATTATTCATATAATATACCTACCTAAATTTCACATAGTGTATTACTCATTACGAATAACATATGCCATCCGTTTGTTGAAGTAATACATAATAAATAACTATCCCTACATAAGGTTTCTGTAGATTTTAATCATTAAGGAAGACATACATTACATATTTGTTTAATTGATACATACAAAATGATAATATGTTCATGAGCTTTACTTAGTGTGTTAATCATTAAGGAGGACACATGTAGTATCTTTGCTTATATAATAGTTATCTTTTTATAAAATTAGTTTAACTAGTGTCTATAGATTTCACAAAATGAATTTGTAATTTATGTAAAGATTATACAATGTAAAAGGGATCGAATTGGAAGCTTTAGGGTTCGACAAGAGAAGGCCAAAGAGGGAGGAGAGTAAAGCAGCAGGAGGAAATGGGAAGAAGATAGACAAGCAGACAAAGGCTTTCTATCTTTCTACTTCCACTGGGCTTTAGAGCATTAGGCCCAAAGACTAGTAAGTAAAAATAAGTTGGGACCGAGAGTTTGAAGAGGAAGAAGCCCAATTTAACTTATGGCTCTTCTTCCTTGTCGAGCAAAGCCTTGTACCTCATCAATTTTCCAGAACCAAAGCAGAACAGCGACAAACAAAAATGCATAAATGAAATGGCAGAAAAGTAAAGAGGGACACAATGTTTTTTAATGTGGTTCACCCTTGTCCAATGGTTACTTCCACATCCCAGAGATCAACATCTCTTATTCTCCAGGAGTTTTTATTTGAGAAGATGAAAAGAAGAGAAGATGCTAAGGCACAACCTTCTACCGTGATTCCAAACCCAGAATCACCAGTACAACCTTGCTAAATAAGATCTTATACCTCTCATTTACACAAGCCCTTTGATCCCCAAAGCCCTTTGCCACTCCGGTTTTTCAGCCTATCAAAGTTGATTCAAGAACAGAGAACCAGAGTCCCTTATATAGACTCAATCATGAAGATGACCGTTAAAAACAGCTTCCTGTGATTTTGTGATTGCCGTCAAATCCATATTCTGAACGTTGGAATTCTCTTGATTAGAGACCGCTTGGAATTTCCATATCAATCTCCAATTTCTTCCAACAATCTCCCTCTAAATTGGAGATTGCAAGTGAGCTTGTACCTGCAGAATAAAAAAACACAGCCCACGAAACCAAAGAGCACAAGCACAACTGACAAAAAAGAGCAGCAACAAATCACAAGATAAAAGAATCAACCAAGCATAGAGTAAACAATTCAGTCAAAAGAATTTAAACCAACCAATCCATCTAGCAAGAACCAAAGCCTCCCTCTCAACTTAATAATCTAAAAGAACATAAAACCAGACTCCCTCTCACAAGATACTAAACCAAACTCCCTCTCAACAGAAGAAACATATACTAGACTTCATTGGAGTCCTCATCAGAGCCGTAATCCACTAGCAAACCAGCAACTGTTGCAGCAAGCAGGGGAGCATCATTATCATTATCATTTGTGCTGACTGTCATCACTTGTGCTGTCATCACTGTCTTCATCATCTGCACCCCCCCCCCCCCCCCAATTTCAATCTCACATTCATCAAGGACTTGATCTGTCAACATGAGGAAAGTGGGATTCTCGGTGCGAAACGAGGTAACAGAGACACCAAGACGAACCACAAGTCTAGTGATCAGAGGTCCGAGAGGCAAAGGACCAGGGTAGGAAGAATGAGCATAGGTGAGAAACACCCCCAAAAATAATAATGGAATAGTTGAGGGGAACATTCCACACAACATGAGCCATGATCCACAAATCTAGAGGAACAATACGATCGAGAGTCTGGGTTCGAGGCAAAAAGATCCTTGTAATGGCGAAGTGCAGGACTCGCAGATGAGGGAGAACAAGATTAACTGGTAATAGTGCCTTGATGGTGGACCAGTCAGCTGAACGAACTCATCAACAATATTGAAGTTGAACAGCCAAAGTTCTGACGCATGAGAGAGAGATTCTCCAACAGAGGGTAGCTCAAGGATTTGAGCAAGATCATCATCAGGAATAGTGCCTTGATGACCAAACATGACAGTAGTAAAACACCTGGAGCTAAGACCGTAGGAACAGAGGTTGGAGTAGAAATAACGAACCAAATCAGGACAAACGAGAGATGGTGGATCTTGCAGAAGAGAGTTTCATCCGAGATTTTGGATGAAGCCCCTGATGTTAAGTCCAAAGTCCACAAATTCAGGAAGAAGGACTTGAACAGGTATAGCTATGTCACGATTTTCATACGCCAAAGCATGGCAGTGACGACTCTGGAGAACAGGCTCAGAGAATAGTGAACCAGTGAACGTATGAGCGAAGACCCGATTCATGGAATTGATTGAGAGGGAATGAATTTGTAGAGGGATACAGACACAGAGAAAAAACTCAACTTAAAAGGACTACGAGCAGACAAACCTAAGACAGACAGGGAGAGGAAAAGGAAACAAAATCAAATCAAGCAAATTAACAGGCAGAAAAAGGAAGCAAAAATAAAACAACACAAGGAAAGAAAAAGAAAACAAGGGAAGGCAATTAATTGCGAAACAGATCCTTGAGATTCTCAAAGGATCGCAGACCTAACTGATAACACAGGAATACAAACCGATCAGTTGCAAGAGGTTTAGTAAACAGGTCTGCAAGTTGGAACTCGGAAGAAATGTATTTGAGAGAAATGATGTTCTCAACCACAAATTCACGAATGAAGTGATATTTAATCTCTATATGCTTAGTTCGTGAATGCTGGACAAGATTCTTTGTCATGCAAATGACACTGGTATTATCGCAGAATAAAGGAATGGAGTTGATGAGCATATCGTAGTCTCCAAGATGGTTCTTAAGCCATAAGAGTTGTGTACAACAGCTGCCAGCTGCAATGTACTCTGCCTCGGCAGTCGAGATCTACTGCTCCTTGTTTTTTGCATGACCAAGATACTAAAGAGGTACCTAAGAATTGGTAGGTACCACTAGTGCTTTTCCTATCTGTTAGACTACCCGCAAAATCAGAGTCACTATACCCCATGTCCCCATCAAATCAAACTCATTGTCTCTAGAGTACCAAATTCCTACATCAGCTGACCCTTTAAGATATCTAAAAATACGTTTGATAGCTGAGAGATGACTCTCTTTAGGATTGGCTTGAAAGCGAGCACACAAGCAAACACTATGCTGAATGTCTGGTCTACTAGCAGTTAGATACAGCAAAGATCCAATCATTCCTCTAAATTTCTTTTCATCTACAGCTACTCCTTGTTCATCTTTATCTAACATCAAGTTTATGGCCATGGGAGTAGGACTAGTGTTAGCATGTTCCATTTCAAACTTCTGCAACATGGTATGAACATACTTGGTTTGGCTAATAAAAATTCCATGCTCAGATTGTTTGAATTGAAGACCTAGAAAATACTGCAATTCACCCATCATACTCATTTCAAAGAAAACCTTCATAGAATCACAGAACTCATAGCACATTGAGGGATTAGTAGAACCAAACACAATATCATCTACATAAATTTTCACAATAAGCATGTCAGATGAGGATCTTTTAATGAATAATGTCTTGTCAACGGACCCTTGAGCAAAATTCTGCTCTTTGAGAAAGCTAGTCAGCCTATCATACCAAGCTCTAGGAGCTTGTTTAAGGCCATAAAGAGCTTTGTTTAGTCTGAAAACATGGTCTGGAAATTGGTAACCAACAAACCCAGGAGGCTGAGCAACATATACTTCCTATTGGATTATGCCATTCAAGAAGGCACTTTTCACATTCATCTGATATAGAGGAAACTTCATATAACTAGCAAAAGCACATAAGAGACGTGTAGAATCGATACGAGCTACTGGGGCAAAAGTTTCTTCGTAGTCTATTCCCTCCTCTTGACTGTAACCCTGAGCAACTAATGTGGCTTTGTTTCTTATAATCTACCCTTCCTCATCAGTTTATTTTCTATAGACCCACTTAGTCCCTATGATTGTCTTTCCTATGGGTCTAGGAACCAGTTCCCAAACATTCAAGTAACTAAACTGAGTGAGTTCTTCTTGCATAGCAAGATTTCACTTTTCGTCATTTAGAGCCTCTCTAATATTCTTATGAGCCTCTCTAACATTCTTGGGTTCAACTCTGGACACAAAGGCATACTAACCAGGAGTATATTTACCTCGAGTTTTGCGTCCTTCATTTATGCTTCCAATGACTTGAGTTTGGGGATGACGCTTTTGAATATGTGGAGGTGCTTGAGGTAGGTCAGTCCCACCAATCTCATCATTGGTAGTCTCTGATGCAATGGGAGCAGCCTAGTCTGTTGTAGTGTTGGTATTTGAGATCACTTCAGAGCTATTTTCAACTGCATTGTGGTTTATGTCATGAAGCAAGTCCGAGAGATCTACCAGAATAGTTCCTGTCTTAGATGCTTCAAAAAGAGGATTAGTCTCATAAAAAATGAAGTGAACAGACTCTTCTACCCTTTTGGTGCGCTTATTACAAATTCTGTATGTTTGCCCTTTTAAGGAATAACCCAGAAATATGTATTCATCTGACTTTGCATCAAACTTTCCAAGGTTATCCTTAGTATTTAGGGAGAAACATCTACTTCCAAAATGATGGAAGTGGGCTATATTAGGTTTTTTATCCTTTAAAATCTCATAGGGAGTTTTATTCAAATGTTTGCGAATTAAAACTCTGTTAGTCACATAGCAAGTTGTGCTCACAGCTTCAGCCCAAAAGAACTTAGGAAGATCATAGTCTAAGAGCATTATTCTGGCTGCTTCTATGAGGATTCGGTTTCTCCTCTCAACTACTCCATTTTGTTGAGGAGTACGAGGAGCCGAAAACATATGGTTAATACCATTTTCCTACAAAATTCAGCAAACTCATCTTAAATGAACTCACCTCCATTGTCACTTTTAACTGCTTTGATATCACTATTCAGTTTGATGAAAGTTCCAAACTTTGACACAGTTTCATCCTTGGAAGCAAGAAAGTAGACCCAGGTAAAACGTGAAAAGTCATCTGCCAAAACAAAAGCATAATTCTTCCCCCCAAGACTAGTTACATTGCATGGTCCAAATAGATCCATGTGAACTAAATCAAAAGGTTTAGTGAAAGTGATGTCAGATTTGGACTTGAAAGGTTTCCTAGTGTGCTTTCCAGCAGCACAGGTTTTACAAAAGAAGTCGCTTCTTTCTTTTTGCCTAGGAATACCTCGGACAACATCTGACTTAGAAAGACAGGCTAATTTCTGCAAGTTTATGTGGCCAAGCTTCTTGTGCCACAACATTTCCTGATAGCAGGTAAGAGACACAAGAAACGTTTCATTGAAGGCATCAAGATTCTGGAAGTCTATGACATACATATTGTTAACACGTTTACCAACAAACATAATTTGATTGTCTTTGAGTCTTTCTACTAAACAGTGTGATGCTTCAAATGTGACTTTATTACCACTACTGCAGAGTTGAGTGATAGACAACAAATTATGTTTTAAGCCATCAACACAGCGAACTTTTTTAACCGAAGGTGCTGGTGCCTTTCCAATAGTTCCTCTGTCAATTATGGTACCACAATTGTCATCACCAAAGTACACTTTCCCTTCAGTTTTAAGATTGAGAGAGGAGAAGAGAACTTAGTTACCCGTCATATGATGGGAGCATCCACTGTCAAGATATCATTCTTGTTGACTGTCTTCTTTGGATTCTGTTGAAGTAGTCTGAAATAAAATCTCTTCTGAGTTGTCTCCCATTCTACCCATATATGTTGTTTCATGGTGTCCTTCATCTTCAGAGTCAGTTTCATAGTCCCTACATGATGCTTTCATATGCCTTTTCCTTTGCTTTATAGGTCAGAGGGCACTGAGCTCTAATGTGCCCCATCTTTCAACACTTACAACATGCCTGAGGTTCCCTTTCAGCACTATCTGAGAATCTTTCATGTGGAATAATTCTTTCTGTAGAAGTACTTTTGAAACGATTAGCTCTAATAGTATCAGAAAACCTTATATTGGAATCACTAGTCTTGGTATTGTTTTCTTGATTACGACTGAAGTTGTTTGAAGGACGAAAACCAGTTTCACGGCTAGATGATCAAACCTGTTTCTATTTTCCTGACGCCTTTGATTCTTATCATTCCTATACTTTAACATCCGCTGATATTGTTTTGTAATTAAGGCAAAATCTGTTTCGAATTCAAAGTCTTCCTCATCATCAGATTCATATCCACTAACATGAGATCTAAAGGTCATCCCCAGAGTTCTTCTGTCATTTCCAGTCACAATCATTTACTCGAGACTGAAAGGCCAGATTTTTCTTTCTCCTATCTTCATCTTTACCTACTTTCCTAACAACATGCTCATGACTCATCAGGGAACCAATTAATTCATCAACAGCTAAGGTATTCAAGTTTTTAGCTTCTTCTATAGCAGTTCTCTTGGGTAACCATTCTTTAGGAAGGGATCTTAAAATCTTCCTAACCAAATCTTTTGATGAAAAAACATTTCCCAAACCCTTCAGCTTATTCGTTAGACTAGTAAAACGAGAATGCATATCATGAATACTTTCACCTAGAAGCATATCGAAGACTTCATACTCGTGAAGAAGAAGATCAATTCGAGTCTCCTTGATGTTTGAAGTTCCTTCGTAGGTAGCTTCTAAGGTAGCCCAGATCTCCCTTGCAGTTTCGCATTGCTCGACTTTGTCGATTTATTCTGGTGACATAGCAATTTGGAGAATGTGCATTGCTCTGTAGTTCAGCTGCGCACTCTTCATCTGTGCATCTGTCCACCCATCTTGCTGATCCATATCGATTTCTCCTGGTCCATCTCGAACAACTTTCTATAGTTCCGTATCAATTCCCCACAAGAAGGTTTTCATACGCTTCTTCCAGGCATTATAATTCGAACCAGTGAACCATGGAGGATTGTTGTGAGACGCAGGGCCAAAATTTGAGTGCGAATTTATCGCCATAGATCGATTTACCCTTGGTAGTGATGAACCTCCTCAAGGGCAGGCTCTGATACCAATTGTAAAAGGGATCGAATTGGAAGCTTTAGGGTTCGAGAAGAGAAGGCCAGAGTGGGAGGAGAGTAAAGCAGCAGGAGGAAATGGGAAGAAGATAGACAAGCAGACTGGGCTTTAGAGCATTAGGCCCAAAGACTAGTAGGTAAATAGAAGCTGGGACCGAGAGTTTGAAGAGGAAGAAGCCCAATTTAACTTATGTCTCTTCTTCCTTGTCGAGCAAAGCCTTGCACCTCAGCAATTTCCCAGAACCAAAGCAGAATAGAGACAAACAGAAATGCAGAAATGAAATGGCATAAAAGTAAAGAGGGACACAATGTTTTTTCATGTGGTGCACCCTTGTGCAATGGTTACTTCCACATCCCAGAGATCAACATCTGCTGTTCTCCAGGAGTTTTTATTTGAGAAGATGAAAAGAAGAGAAGATGCTAAGGCACAGCCTTCTGCCGTGATTCCAAACCCAGAATCACCAGTACAACCTTGCTAAATCAGATCCTATACCTCTGATTTACACAAGCCCTTTGATCCCCAAAGCCCTTTGCCACTCTGGTTTTTCAGATTATCAAAGTTGATTCAAGAACAGAGAACCAAAGTCACTTACATAGACTCAATTATGAAGATGACCGTTGAAAATAGCTTCCTGTGATTCCGTGATTTCCGTCAAATCCGGATTCTGAACGTTGGAATTCTCTTGATCAGAGACCGCTTGGACTTTCCATATCAATCTCCAATTTCTTCCAACATACAATGTTGTTTAGGTAACAGTTATAGAATGTTGTTACACAAATCTTTCATAATGTGTGTTCTAATAATAAAATCAAGTTATAGAAATTAACATTTGATGAATCTGTAATTTATATATGTAACTGTTATAGAATGTTGTTAAATAAATCTTAAATGTGTGATCTAATAGTAAAATCAAATTTTAGAAAGTAATGTATGATTAAAACTGTTATATCAAAGTTAACTAACCTTGCGGGACTTTCGCATCATGCAAATTGATGATATGTTAATTATTTTAGTTAACAATGATGGAATTTCGGTTAGTAATTTAATATTACATATTATTTAGTAATAAATAGTGAAAAAAGGAGTTTTACATAATAATTAAATAACAATAAACTTATAACAATGAGCTTATAATAAACCGTGAAAATAAAGGAGTTTTAGTTAAGTAACAATGAGATTATGATAAAATTGGATGTAGTAAATAAGAACTTCTTGTGAAGAGTACCTCCTAAAAAAAGGGGTAACATAAGGACTCTATCCTAGGTAATAACCCTCAAAGTGAAGTATATGAGGGGTTCGGGATGAGCTGATGTCAGACGAGTCGTGGAGTGAAGATGCGGAGGATAATCTCTATCGTCCCACGATTCAGATCTAGAAGAAAAACGGATGCTAGGGTTTGCCACCGTTTGTGAAGAGCAATCGCATTCAGGATTCTCGATAAGCAGTTTTCATTTGCCTTGTTCAAACGATGCATCCATATAATATGTGGCCTAAACTGAAAGGCGTCAAAATGGGAGATATATAGGAAATGAATACTTTGAAGAGATTTTCCAATTATGAACTCGATTACAATAGAGCATTACATGGTGGACCATGGACGATTGATGAGAATTACATTATACGGGAGCCATGAAGATTGAACTTTGATCGAGATTATGATGTCAAAAGGGTTTAGAGTTTCGTTTGATCTTAGAAATTTATATTAGCACTTTTATTTGGGATTAGAGTATTTGTTTTAGAACAGGGAGACAACTCAGAGTATTAAGAAGGGGCGCATGTGATTGATTGTAACTGAGAAACACAGTAAAAAGCATATTCTCTCCATATAGGAAATCAAACTTAACGTAGTTGCGATTCAGTTTAGAGTTGCGAGAACGCTATGGAGCACTTGTGGGCGTAGTAACCGGACCCCGTTGTAAATTCCCTGCACGGACTCAGATACTTTTGCACATTGGAAAGACAAGTCCCGCAACTATCTCCGGTGTAGCCAACGTAACAAGTCGCCGTACCGTTGGCCGCCTCGCTTCCGGCGGCGCTACCCTCCGGCCTTATCGAGGTGTACGTCGTATCGCCTGTACCAGCGTCTGCGTATTGCTGCTGCGTGTTTTCAACCAGATCCTGAAGGACGGCATCGACGTACAAAGGGAAGTTGTCCTCGTCATTTGGCCGGGTTTTGCCGCAATAGTCGTGGCTCGATCCGCCGCCCAAGTTTCCCACGACGAGTAGGACAACCATGAGCAACGATTTGGGGAAGATGACGTAGCAACCCGCCATAGGCGTTTGGAATGTTAATGGATATTATTGGTGTTGGTGGTGGTTAGTTGATATGATCTGGTTTTCCATTGGTGAAAAGCACCTTCATGACGTTTTTTATAGCGACAGAGAAGGTTCCCATCGACGGCGATCGGATTCCTTTTCGGACCCGTTTGAAGAGTTTGGTGGCATCTTACACGCCCGGCGGCCGGGCATCGAAAGGATACGTGGGATGGAATGTTTAAACTCTAATTATTATTATTCATAAACAAGAAATGCTAATTAATGTAAGCTAGGGGCGTATATTTAATTAGGGGGGATCACTTATTAGTAGGGATGGCAATGGGTCGGGTTGGGTTCGAATAGTGCATATCCGTTACCCTACTCAAAGTAGTTCGGGTTTTATTCATACCCATACTCACATAAGAAACGGGTAGAAAATCAAAACCATGGCTATACCCGTTCGGGTTTCCACGGTTATCCATGGGTAATAATTTTTCTTCATAACTCCAACCAATATGTTAACATTCTCGCATATTCTCACATTATGTAAGAGGAAAAATACAACAATAATTCACTAGAACGAAGAAAATTAATTAAAACAATACGATTTCATGAAAATACTATATTTATATGCTAAATATTAAATATGTTAGAGAAAAATAATGATTATTTTTAGACAAAATATATATGAATGTGTATAATCGGGCGGGTTCGGGTTGGATAGTGAGAAACCCATGCCCACCCATTACCCGCAATATTTGGGTTCGGGTTTTACCCATACCCACTAAAAGTTCTTCGGGTTCGAGTTTTACCCTACCCGATTAGGTCGGATTCGGGCGGATATCCACGATTACGGATATTTTTGTCATCCTAATTATTAGCAACATTTTAGTTTCGTAATCATATATAATTTTAATATTTGACCAATGAAGTTACGAATTTTATTTTTCATCAATAACTACGATGTGCTCTCAATCTCATATACATATTGTGATAACAAATTAAAATATTACTAACTGCTAAATTTAAAATAAGCTTCCTTATGTACACAGTCAACTCTTTTTTTAAGAGAAAATCTATATCTATCTATCTATATCTATACTAAATAATATGTCTATTCAAAAATAACTTCTTGCCACATAAGCACTTGGTGAATGCACAAGTTGCCAAGGTGGACAATTTTTTTTCAAACAAAAAACTATTTATTGATCTATTTATGAAGTTGTCTCTCTCTTCTTATAAACCTTATAGAGTAATAATTGTTATTTTTTAAAAATTTTCTTATTCATTTCTATTAAATGAAAACATATTAATTATTGATGCAAACTTTTAATTTGTTTCTATCCCTTTCCCCATTTTGATTGTCTCTCTAGAATTAAAATCCAACATTGAAAATAAGAAATCAAGAAAGTATGTCAACCACCATAAAAATAAACAAAGCCCTCTTATTAGTTGCTAAATTTTTTGAGATTTCTAATAATTGTATTCTCATAATTTATAGAGAAGGAAATGGTAATGCATACGATTTTTTTGAGCAGTTGTAATATATTTTTGCCTATTGACGAAAAAAGTTAATCTGATCATTGTGAAGATGAGGTGAACCAAGCCGAGGGTTGTCGACTTCTCCCTCTTGCTCCTTGATCTGAAGCTGGCAACTGGTCTCACTTTCTCAGCGATATGTTATTGTTTGCGGTTGACTGGCCGAGTTAACTCTTTTTATCATTCTTTTCTTAATTTCTTCCAAATTACGACTGCTGGATGGTAAATTTTCCCACTCTCGATGAGTGAATATATTCCGTCTTTGTTTTTTACTGAGAAGGGTCGCCATATACTTTCATCTATATAAAATATAATTAGAAAGGTTAATTGGTTGGACTTAGAGCATACCTCCTTTGGTTGAATAATTGATCGTTTTTCTTGAATGCCTATTGCAACCCGATTTTTTGAATGTTGAAATGGAAAGTAAAGTTGTGATGATTGTTTATTATATTTTATGTTCATGATTGACATGCTACTACTAGCTAGCTATACAATGATGATCTGGTTAATAATTAGTAGGTTGCAAAGGGGTTATAACTTATAAGCAGAAGGGAACATAATTGGGGTTTTATAAAGGTCGCGAAGAAGAAAGAAAATAATAATGGTGGTTTCTAGGTTGTCTATTTCGATGTTTTTTTAATTTCTACATGTTTGCGGTGACATTTGTTTGTTTCATTAAGGTGAATTTTTCTATATTGAATCCCTAACTAATGATTGATTTTGACATTATTGTTTTCTCACAAACTACTATTTGGATTGATGCATATATTCAGTTCACAAATGAGGAATCTGAATGATAAAAATGAGTTGAGTGGTATTGAATACTGCTCCTTTCATTATTTGTCTATGTTGTTATTAGGTAATAAAGCACAATTCTTTTCTGCAGGAGATATGTAGCTCTCTACAAAATATAAATTGTGTTTAATTTTATGCAGTTTAATTTGCTGAAAATATTGCTTTAATAAGTTAGTGACAGCTGATAGTTTTATTTGTGGTTGGTTTTGCTAGAATATTTCAAAATAATGTACAAATATAAATAATAATAACAATTAGAATACTATACCGAATTATAAAACAATCAAACAAAATACACCGCCCCACGGGCGGGTAAAAAACTAGTATAGATGATAGTGGTTTTTCATAGGCGATTGTGGGTTTCAAAATAGGTGAGTCGTCAAACAGTCCCAACATTTATTTAATTTAAACCCCCAAATCTACATATGTTATGGCTCTTGCTATCGTTTATCGAAACGAATTCCACAAAGTCACCATAACCTACTTACTCCAATTTTGAGGGGAAAATTAATCTGTCGGATGTCTTTACTTAACAATTCCTTCCTGATTTTTAATGTTTTATCTTCTCGTGGTTGTTCATGAATCATGATACTTACCATAGTTGGAAACATTATCTTTTTAGTTCCTTCAAAATCATCTTCCCTCTACCATTCCTTCTTCATATCAATCCAAGTCCTCTGAAGTCGAAACTCAATTTTTCGAGCATGTTCAATATAATGTAGAAATTTCATTTCTGCTACATTATGTGATCAGCTTGTAAAAGATATCTTGTTGATCCACCGAATTCACTCACCCAAACACTATTCGTGATTAATCACGCAACCTACTCACTAGTACATGATTAGTGAGCGTCGTGGATCATTTCCTACATCATCCATTAAATAGTGGATGATTGTCCAATCAAACCCTTGCAAATCTACATATTGCTCACCCTTACCTATAATTAGAGGTGGCTATACAGTCCGGTCCGGTCTTTTTCGAAATATGGGGATCAAAGACGGGATCGAATTCCGATTTTGCCCCAGTCCATTCTTATTCGGTCTCATTCCCAACTCGGTTTTGACTCGGACCGACCCTGCGAGAAATTTAAGCAACATATACGCCCTACTCTTGGAATGCAGACAACCTGTTTGTACATAATTTATAGACAAAAGCAAGCCAAATATTGTCCAGTATAATTACCAACAAGCTCTGGATTACAAACCCAAAGTTCAATTCAAATTTCAAAGTTCAATATGCAGCAACTCATTGAATTAGTTAAGCACATATATATTCTTATTACAGACGAGCAGCTCATGCCATTTATCTCCACAAAATATGTAACATGTACATATGACTGCAATTGAGCCGAGCCGAGTTTTACTCCAGCTTGAGCTCGGCTCATTAATAAACGAGTTGAGCTTGAACTCGGCTCGTTTATTGACGAGCCAAGTCGAGTTCGAGCTAGCTTGCTAACTAAAATCGTGACTAGTATTCGATACATTCATTTTGTATGTCATGTATTATACATGTATTAATGTCAAGATAAAATTAAAAAATAATAATTAAAGGTTTAATATTAAATCTCATGTTATACTTTGTGGTATCATATTATTTAGTTAATAAATGTTAGCTAGTTAAAATTATGTTATTTCATAATATCAAAGCAATCTATAATACATAATTTCTTTTTAAAATTAAATAAGACATATTTGCTCACATAATCTACGTGTTAAACTTCATTTAGAGTGAGATATATAATTTAACAACTCTATAAATTATCAAAATCAAACTCATATAAATCAATTTGCTCATAAGTCGGTAATCGAGTTGTCTCTCCTAGCCACAATGTTGAGAGTCGAGACATCTCATAAGCTCTAAACGAGCCAGCTCGCGAGTTGAGCTCAACAACCTACCGAGTCAAGCTAGCTCGCGAGCTGTAGAAGGCGTAGCTCAAGCTCGACTCATTAGTAAATAAGCTGAGTTTCGAACGAATTTTTTCCGAGTCGAACGCCGAGTCGCTCGTAAGCAACTCAGCTCATTTGCAGGCCTACCTGTGCCTACTTGTTAATGAGAACTCATATCAGCAAACAAAAGAAATAATGAGCCATTTATCTCCACAAAATTATTTATTGAAGTGATGTGAAGGTGGCCTGTACACTGACGAGGGCCAACGTTTAGTAGTGATCTGCGGGCACTCTGGGTTGGTTCTGGGCAGGCCAGTGGGCTGGTGGGTTGAGTTTGATGGGTTGAGTTTGAGGCCTTTATTTGGTCTTATTGTTTTAACACGGTTTTAATACGAACTGAATTGATCCGGATTTTTAGTTATTCTTAGGACCAAAGACGAGATTTGATTGTTTTACATCCGGTCTCGATCTCAAACGGTCCGAGTTTATACGGTCCGGATTCTGGTTATACTAAAAAATCCAGACCGAATAGTTAGCCCTACCTACATCCTACAATCACTCCTCACAAACATTGAAGAGTTATATTGTTTGTGTTGATCACTTTGTTGGATCACTAATGACAAACTAACGAAACCTAACATTGTTTTTGCAAATGAGAAAACAAAAGTTTTGGGAGAAGAGTTTCTCTTCCTTTAATCACTTGGTATAGTAGTGCCATATGCACTTGGAATTTGCTTTCTATATTGAACACGCTCATCCCATCTCAATCAAAGTTTTATCATTTCGTTACTTTATATGTAGTTGTATTTAGGTCCACTTCAGCTTTGAACAATATATAACATATCTTTATATCTATCATCAAAAGATGGACATTAAAACTTTTCCCCAATTAGGTATGTTTGTTTCTACTTATTTACGGGTGAACCACTAATCGAACCGTGAACCGGCTAAACCAAAACTACATAGTTTCATAGACCCAATCGGCCAAACCTAACTAGGTATAGAGGGATACTTATATTTGTAGGGGACATTTCTAGACTCTAGTACATGGCATAGAAGAGAACAAAAGATGTTCTCTCATGTACATATTGTAATAGAAATTTGCTACCAAATAATATTGAAAATACTTTTCATTATCTACACAATCAACTCTTTTTCAAGGGAAAAATATAAATGATAACTGTCCAAATGAAGGGTGAGCACTGGGTGGCTTAACCCCACAAATCCACCCACGTCAAATCATAATTAGGTTGTGGATGGTTTTCCATTAGACCATTACAAAAAATACAGTGATTAGTGATGACACGTTTTTCGTCAGTATAGGTTTGATTCCGTAAAAATGGTTATTATCAACGACATATAATTGTCGGTTGTCGTTAGGAAAACTCTCATGGATGGGATTAGGTGCTAATCCTTATAGGGGTTAGAACCGTGATAACTAGCAAAAAACGCTACTAAAAATAACGAAATCACTACGGATTATTATAAAATCAATACAACATCTAAGCTAAATCACTACTAATTCAAACTAGTAGTAGTTTTTCCCTTGGTTAGGATGGTGCTAACTATTGTACAATTAGCACCGTAACTCCTCCCAACTCTCATAGGTAATACATTATTTTTGACATGCTGTCAAAAAATATGTTATTATTAATACCAAAATCGCGTCAATAAACCAAAGAATGACGTCAAAAAAATACATTACTCATGACGATGAATTTTCCCCCCTTACAAGCTATGCATTCTTTTTTAGGGACAATAGTAGTTAGAAATACCATTATTACTCATGAAGAAAAGAATTTATAATATATATATATATATATATATAAAATTTGTTGTATTTTTATGACCTCGTACTTTTTTTCAAAACTAGAATATATATATTAATACAATTAAAATATCATAAATATATATAAAACCAAATTAGTGTCCACATTTGTATTGGTTTCCCCATCGAAAAAAGTATACATTAATTACAAAAAAGTTACACAACTACATTTTTATTCACATAATAATCTATCTAAAGGGATAGATCAAATAGAAAACATCAACAAAATCACTACAAAAATCATCATTCACCCTCCATTCCTTCCCACATCTAGAGGTCTTTTGGATAAGGGTTTTTTATCAGGGACTTTAACACATTCCCTCATCATCCCGGATTTAGACTAATTAACTCGTTTGAAAAGTGATAAAAAATTAGTGATTTTAACCATTCCGGATTTTGAAAACATGCTCATGCCGAATTTGAAAATAGCTGATCATGAGCAGTTATTTTGAAATCACTCGTTTTATTTTTGCTTATCCCAAATTTGTCCTCCCATCTCTTCCACAACGACCATCGTGTTCTTTGCTTACCTCTCTTCCGGCAATTTCCACGTCCCATCCCAGCCCCAAAAGTTAACAAATCCAAAACCCTCCGTCAGCCACAAGCCCAGAACAAAGTATCAACGGCGACGACAACGGTGGCTGAGGTCGAAGAACTAGAGTCGGATTTAGGGTTCTGATTTTTGGGTTTCGACGATTACTGAAACATGTCATGTGACGGAAACGAAGTTGGACGAAAATTAACGAGAGAGTGACTAAATGTGACATGTTTCAGTAATTCGAGTGACCAAACATGATATTAATTTTTTATAGTGACTAAACATGATATGATTTAGTAATCTTAGTGACCAAATATAGCATTTACCCTTTAATATATATAAACCAAATCAATTGTTACTGTTCAGTGTTCACTAAGTTTGGTTATTATTATAGTGTGCTGTTTCGGCTAATTCTTGGATTGGGCTTAAACCCATAAACTTTTTGAGGCAAGTGATTCATTTATGAACCTCCTTTTTATTGGGAATGGGTTAGAGTGATTACTTGTTTTTTTAGTAATCACGGTGGCAACTTCTTTATATACCATTTGATTGACTATTTTATCTTCTTTTTTAATCTTACGTTCAAGATTTTTAGGGTAATTTTGGAAATGAAAATATAACCACACCCGATTACCTAATATAATCTACCCAAACCCTAGTTCTACACTCCCTCCAGCCAAACCCATCGTAGCCGCCTCCACCACTCCCGTCGCACTAATCCTGTCGGCTGCCTACGCCAGCCCCGACGATGACTCTGTGCCGGGCACCCTCGGCCACCGCATCGACCTCCCACCCCTCCGACTACCCCCGACTCTCTCTATATCTCTCCCGCTGCTCTCTCTCTCTCTCTCTCTCTTATTCATTTCTCCCGTTGCTCTCTCTCTCTTCCGCTGCTTTCTCCTTCCCTCCCTATTTCTATATCCATTTGTCTACTGTAGATTTGGTAATTAGCATCTGGTAATTTAGTAATGGTATTAATTTATGAAATGGTATACTTTGTTTTGGTATTAGTTCATTGTTTTGTTGTATGAAATGGTAGTTGATTTATTTATGCAATGGTATTGTTTTGATTTCGCAATAGTAGTTGTATTGATTGATTTTGGTATTGGTAGTTTTTTAGTTTAATGGTATTAATTTATTTGTGCAATGGTATTGTTTTAATTTCACAGTTGTAGTGGTATTGGTTGTTTTGGTATTTGTTTGACTTTTATAATGGTATAGATTCTTTATATTGGTAGTTTTCGTGTAATGGTATAGATTTATCTCTGCAATGGTATTGATGTTTTTCAAATTGGTAGTGGTTGTCTAATGGATTGGTAGTGATTTCATGTTTTTTCTTTTGTAGAAAGATTGAGAAAAATATGGAAATGAGATTTGGCTGGAGATTACGGAAGTGAGAGAAAGAGAGATAATTGTAATTAATAGATTTTTCTAACTATCTAAAATGTAATTTGTTAAAAAAATTAATTAATATAATTTATTTTTTCATACGTAATTTACCCTTAGTAATCACCATAACCGCTCCTTTTTTTATTGTAGTGTGCTGTTTCGGCTAATCATTACCTGCAGCTAAAAATATAATTATCATTCCCAAACAAGGAAGGCTAATTCATGTAAACTAGGGCATATATATAATTCGAGTAATTTATTAGGGAAATTGTAGTATTAGAAATTGTAATTGTAATAACATATAAAATGAAAACGGCCGACCATATAATGATGGCAATAATACGGGGCGAGATGAATACATACCAATTGCGGGTCAGGTTGGATAATACCTGTGTTACACGAAAAGAGGGGTCGACTCATCCATATATATTATTTTGAATAAAAAAATATTGATATTTAGCTTTTTTATATAAGTATGGTATAGATTTATTTTTTTAGTTTTTAGGTATTTTGGATTCAAACCTGTAACCTCCCAGTTAAGACTAGTGGTATTACCACTAACTAAACCCTTCATAAATGAATCCTTCATTAATATATGGTAGAGTTTTGTGTATTTTTCTCTATTTCAAATTTTCTGCAACGAGAGTGAAAGTAGGAATGATATTTTTGTCTTTACAATTAATGATTTATTTCAAATAAAAAATATCAACATCAAGATTTGAACTCGAGTCTCTTCAAACAAAGACAACAATTATAACCAATTACACTAAACAAATTTGTTATTTTTATTTGAATACAAAACATACACTAAGTTAAGCTCTGGAAAGTGAATGACTTTTACATCATGATCAACAAGCCCACTAAGTCTACCGTATATATTTTTATGGAGCTTAATACTTCAATGTCCATAGTAGAGTTTCATGTAATTTAATCCATTTTAAAATTCATGCTCTACTTAATTTTCGTTTAGGTAAATTTGTAATTGGCTAATATGGAAGAAACTATTTCTTTTCTACGTGTTGTGTCATTGCATTTTTCAATTTAAATTTAAATTTTGTGCTTTTTTTTATCTTTGTTCTTATCTCTTTATAACTTACTTCGAAAGTCCCTCCATCGTGCAATAATTTGGCCCTTTCACTTTCGAGTACAAGGGCTAGGGCGCATTTGAAAATTAATCTTCTGGTTTCTCTTGGCAGGATAGTTTTATTTTGGGGATTTAAGCTGCGCAAATAGAAAATTTCAAATCCGATATCAATCCATGAGGAATAGAATGAAGTTCAATCAAGTAGTTATGAATTTGAACTTGGATTAGAAGAGTTGGAATTGAGTTTGAGAATGAAAGTGGTGGAGGGAAGAAATTGTGTTTGGATTTGGTAGCAGGTAAAGTTCCATTGCAGCAGGTGAAGGCAGAGAAGATGGAGTTGGAGAGGGTAGTGAATGAATTGAGGAGAGTGTTGAAAGACATGGAAGCGAAACTGGAGCAGTTAATGAGAGAGAAATGAGAGATGATGAGGATATTAATGAAAATGGAGAGGTTATTGAAGGGCAAGGAAGTGGACTGAAGCGGGTGAAGGCAGACAAGGGGGAGATGAACATATTGATGGAACAGGAGATGAGTGTTGGTTTTAGCGAACTTATTACAACTGCCCCGAGGAAGATGAGTTAGCAAACACAAGAAGAAGATTGAGGAGTTGAAGAGCGAGTTGACAAGAACCCCAATTGGAAGAGAAATTGAGGGTCACGGAGAGAAGGTCCATCAAAGTAGCAGAAATGGAATTGTTTGGTTGGAACATATGCCTCTTGAGATTAAAGATAGAGTGGATAAAAATTTGGTCGTTCAACGGAGAGTGGTGGCTATTGGCTCTTTAGGTTTATGGTTTTTGCAGCTACCACATCCTATTTCTATCTTAAAACGAGAAATAATTGATTGATTTACTGAATTAGGTCGATTCTTTATTCAACCTACTGAAACTGATAGAAAATGAGTGTCTAATTTTGTGTCTTATGACTTTGATCAAGTCTATTAGTATATTGGAGGTAACTAATTTTGTCGTTTGCTCTCAAGTTTTGATGGTTCCCTCTTAGTTAAGTTTGTAGTATATAGTTGACTTGAACCAATAACTCTCGATTTCTTTTTTATTAGTGGCATGTTGTTCCTAAAAGGAGAGCATTGCAGCCTTTATGTAGGATTGTAAGGTTTTAGATTCAGTTTCAAACTATATATGGGTCGTGTGGTAATTCAATTGAGCTTTTATATTCTATTTTTATCAACTAATAATATTATCATTATGAAAATGAAATCAATTATAAATTTTTTTATTTTATATTCTTAAATGATGTTAGTATTTCTTCGAGTGTTCGACCTATATATAATTAAACCATTTAAACGGGTTGATAGACTTAAACTTAACATAAAATTATAAATAATCAAATATGAACGTTCCGGCCAACGAGCGGGTTATAATCTAGTGAGAAATATAACATAAAGAATAATTAATTCTAAATAATTGAAAGATGAGTCCAAATTTTTCATTGAAATGAAAATATGATTTAGAAATGTCGATAGAAAAGACATACATGCTCGTACCTAGACGTAAGGTTATTAGCACGGGACTTTGTAGTCCCATGCCAAAGGACAGAACAAAGACTTTCCAAGGATTTTATTTGACTTGACCTTGAATCTGTCTTTACAGTAAATACCACAGCAATCAGGTGTAATATTGAAATCCATTTCAACATTCTCGATTTTTCGAATGCCTTCATTTTACAATTCCAATAAATAACTGCATTCAGAGACACAAATTCTTTCCACCAAGACAACCCCACAACCATTGCCTATCGCAGAAGCCTGAAGAAAATTGTCTTCCCACGTTTGTTCTATGTACAACATTTTTGTGTGCTGAGAAAGAATACAAGGAGAAGCCAGACCCATTGAAATAGCTACTAGCTGCAGACATCAAAAGCACAGCAGTTTCTTTCTTCTCGTTGAATCTCGTTGCAGCAAACACCACCTGCTAAAACTTGGGAATGTCAGTTTAAATGAAGCTGGATTGCCTTTTTAAACCGATGAAAAGGGTTCTATTGAGCAAATACCTTGAGACTAGCTGCTTGAGCTACCCATATCGAAGTCCATGGTGTAGTCGTACTCTATGGTTGGTATAACAGAGGCCATGAATTTTAAGAAAAGGAAAAGATACCTGCAGAAAACAGATATGCGTCTCAGTTAGACACATATATAAGTAAAGTTCTGAGAATAGTTGAAGACATTATGAGCGAAGGCACTGTAAAGTGAAGTTCTGAGAATAGTTGAAGACACTAATTCATTGTCGTAAGTCACAGATCGTCCATCAGATTTTTCTATGTCAGTAACAAGGAAAGGAAGGCTAAAACTCACTTGTCAACTTCTGGTTCAACACCTCGAGACATTAGAACATCAATAATTTTCTTCATCACAGCCCCATGTTTGCATGGATGAACTGACGCATGCTTCCCAGGCAAATGAGGATGGTCTTCGATAGTAACTGTCTTACGTGCATGATCCTGACTAACATCTTCAAGCACTAATTCGGGTTGTAAAAGCATCCTGGACTGCAGGTTCACAATGTTACAGTCAACAGTGGACCCAAAGAGCATTTGGAATGCAGACAAAATTTGAACCAAATAACAGTAAGCTAGATCAACATTTCACTTTTACGGTCATTAACTCACTCTAATGGGTTACACATGCAGTGATTATAGAGTGAAAAGTCAGAGACCGATTTAGTTTAAGAAGTTACAGTTTCTTAGGATACACAGAACAAACCTCATCGTATCCAGTAAGCCACACTCGAGGGGTCTGATAGTATTTGTCATAGCTGGAAATACATAACCAAAGAATAGTTATAACAATGGCCAACAAAAAAATTTTGAACTTTCTACCTCAGCATACTTACGTGATGCTGACATCATATGTTCGAGTCCGCAAAATGTTATCATCATCAGGTTCATTTGCCACAAGATAAGTAGTTTGAAGCGTTGCCTGAAACAATTTAGATATATCACATGTTCGTTTCCTTCTAGCAAGATCCCTACTAGCAGAATCAGTAAAAGAACTTACAGGATCTGCTTCAATGAGATTGTCAGGGTCATCATAGTCAGCCATGTCAGGGATATCATCTTCTTCTGGATCCCCAAAGTATGATGGAATTGATTGGATAGGACCCTTTCTGCTGATTTCAAGGGCCTCCATAGAAGGCACATTGTCCTCTTCACCAGCTTTCGTCTCTAGAAACCAGAATGAAGAAGCATGAAAGTCAGGTAATGAACCCCTTATTCCAAGGGCAACTTAGTTATAGAGTTCGAAATTCACCTTTCGGTGTTCCATGAGTGGCAACCCAGGCGTCGTTCTCATCGTCATCATTATCGAGTAAAACCTCACCCCCACTAGCTATGTAATCTTCTTCAATAGAGGCAGCTCTACGTAGACAAGGAACTGAAAAAGCAGGTTCAAAACTTGTCACGAAACTGGTGAACCGTACCGTGAAGAACCAGACTAGGTGAATATATATAGAATCTAAACCCAATTACATATAAGAGCCCATCAGTAGCGCTTCAACATCAGAAGCATACAACAAGTTACAAGTTTGCTTAATACTTCCGTGGGAAAAGCAGGAGTAACAGATGCACAAACCATAACAGATAGAGGAAAATTTAACTAACAGCACCTTACCATTTCGAGTAATTAGAAACTGCTTATCAGCTGGTAAGTAAGGCTTCCTCTTGCTGGGCTCACCTGATTCCCTATGGAACAGAAATTGACAGGAGCGTTAATAGCAAACACCAGCTTATATAAAGTCGATACAAGCCCGAGAAAGCTCAAAACTTTTTGCTCCTGGAATTGTAGCAAAGTTCGCATCTTTTACAATCCCTTTGTTGGAATTGAACGAATTGACCCGATGAAAATCAAAACAACACAGACTGGAAGCAAATTTCAATCGGCCAAGCAAGGAAACAGCTCCAGATTCAACCAAGCAAGATTCCCCAAACCCTCCAAGGGGTCGTTTGGATGAGCTCACGATGACCAGGGGGGAAGATTGAAAATAGAGAAATTTACCATGACCAGGTAGGGCACTTGGAGACGAGATTGTCGCCGGCGAGAATGAACTCGCTGACGCTGAGGACGCCCTTCTCCTTGAAGGCGGAGACGGTGCGGGGGCTCGTAATTCTCTCAACCGTGCCTTTGAAAGCGTCGTGAAGCTTCTGTTTCAGCACCATCGCTGAATTATCTTCTTGGGTGGAATTTCTTAAGAGGAAAAAAAACAAATCAAATTCCCAGGCCCGACGAACCCTAGAGTTTGAGAAGAAGGGAAAGAAGGACCAGAGCTGACCGTGTTTAACAAGTTAAAGCTAACCCCACTGATCAGACCAAGTTGTCAATCGCCATATCCCCTCCGCCCGTTGCGTGTTCTTTCTCTCTCTCTCTCTGTTTTTTTTTATTTTTTTCCTCCCTTTTCCAAGTCTTAGATTATGGGCTTCGGCCCGCCGAAAATGGGCGTTGGTTGCTCAATGGGCCTTCTCTTCTGAGCTATTATATATAATTTACTTTTATTTTTTTGTTGAACAATAGAAACAAAAAAATCGCAAAATTGGCTGTAAAAAGAAGGGCGTAAAGGACGAGGTCAGGGGAAACGTTGGCGGGTTTCCCTTCCCTCCAAACGTTTCTTCTGCCTATTCACTCACCGGCACCGTCGAGAAGGCAAGGGGAAGAAGGATTGAGCTTAGCTGTCTACTCTGGCTCGTCAATGGAGGGGAAGAAGAGCTGCTCCTGGGACAACTGGGTTGGGGAGGCATTGTCGAAGCTTCAATCCACCAAGCTGCTTCGGTCGTTGAGACCCATTACCCTTTCCACCGAACAACCTCTCCCATCAATGCTGGTTCCGTCTCTTGGCCACGATTACGAGGTGTTCGACGAAATGCAGCCGTGGGATCGGTCCTCCGTTGAGGTATCGGTTTCAGAGGCCACGTTTCGCAATTGGCTCCTTGAGGCTGCCAGTGTCGGTGAGTTTGTAAAACGGGGTTATTTGTTCTTGTCCAAAATTGCACCTCGTGGTTGTGCTGGTTGGTGCATATGGCTCATTTTGATAAATTTGGGTTTACAGGAGAAGATGATTCTTACAGTGGTGGTGGTGTTGAGCAGCGAGCTGGGCAGTTCAAGAAGCTACTTTTGTTCTCTGGAAATGATTACTTGGGCTTGAGTTCGCATCCCACTATTGGGAAAGCTGCTGCCAAGGTTTGTTTGATGTTTGGCCCTTTCATATCTCAAATGCTGTGGCTGCTTACTGTACTAAGAGTGCACTGAAACTGTATTGCGATAATCAGGCAGCTCAAGATCATGGAATGGGGCCGAGAGGTTCTGCTTTAATCTGTGGTTACACTAATTACCATAGACTGCTTGAATCTTGCTTGGCAGGCTTGAAGAAAAAAGAGGTAAAATAATCTAATGTCTGTAATCTCACTGCACTTTTATTAACTATGACTTCTTAGGATCTTGTACTCCAACCTTTAAGGTTGAAATCCTTGTAATTCAGTTTCTTAGTTTCTAGTTCTGATATTCGAATTAACATGGATAGTCCTTTTTTTTTTTTTTTGGTCTCGTAAACTGAAACCTTATACCTGTTATTGCATTATCTGTTGTAGGACTGCCTTCTTTGCCCTTCAGGGTTTTCGGCCAATATGGCCGTAATGGTATCTGTTGGAAGCATTGGCTCTCTTTTGGCCACGTCTCAGAAGAAACCTCAAATGGAAGAAAAGATTGCCGTGTTTTCAGATGCTCTGAACCATGCTTCAATAATTGATGGTATTCGTCTTGCTGAGCGACAACAGACAATTGAGGTCTATGTGTATAGGCATTGTGACATGTCCCACCTAAGTTCATTACTGTAAGCGCTTAACTTTACCTTCACCCTTACTCTTACACTATTTTGCTAGCATTCTGCTTTTATGGTACTCATCTCATTGTTGTACGAATTTGTTTTACAGCTCAAGCTGCTCTTTGAAGAAGAAGGTTGTTGTGACTGATAGGTTAGTCAACCTCTAAGTGCTACATTAACCATGGTTTCTCGTAGCTCCAATTGTTGAGTAGAAAGACATATATTTTTTGTTCACTTGGGTCTTTGGTGGATTCGTATTAGCATGGTGGATAAGAACTTTCAGCTTTGTATGAAGTAGTTATGTGTAGCTGTAGGGTTTTCTTGCATGTGGTGAGATACTAAATGGATGTTCTTTGGGGTTATATAGTTTGTTTAGTATGGACGGAGACTTTGCACCAATGGCTGAACTTGTGAATCTTCGGAAGAGGCATGGCTTTTTGTTGATCATCGATGATGTAAGTTTTTCCCGAAAGGCTGGGTGTATGTGCTTGGAGGAAAATGTTTGACAGCCAATGATCAACTAGCCTTCCATGGTACACACCTTGCTATAACTGTATAATGTCGATAATAAGAGACTAGTAACTCTGCCAAGAATTATTTTCAGGCCCATGGAACATTTGTTTGTGGCAAGGATGGTGGTGGAGTTGCTCAGGAGTTTAATTGTGAAAGAGATGTCGATATATGCGTTGGCACACTGAGTAAAGCTGCAGGTTGCCATGGGGGATTCATAGCATGCGGGTAATACAAATTAACTCAATCCATGAGTGCTCTTCTTTTATCTCTCAGTCCATGCAAAATGTCCCTTGCATATAAGTAACAGTTGCAGTTGTGTGACAACCATTTTTTGACAGTAAAAGATGGAAGCAACTCATACAATCAAGAGGCCGCTCATTTATATTCTCAACTGCTATACCAGTTCCTGTTGCAGCAGCTGCCCATGGTGAATTTTACTGCCATACTTTTTTCTTCTTTTGCATCTGTTTTCAGTTTTACCTTATTGCAGAAAAATCTTCCGTTTATTAACACTGTCTGCATAAACCACCAGCTGCTGTTATTGTGGCGGAAAAGGAAGCGTGGCGAAGAAGGGAAATTTGGAAGAGGGTCCAAGACTTTCGGATTCTTACTGGGATCCCTATCACCAGCCCTATTATCTCCCTTGTTGTAGGCAGTGAAGAGAAAGCCCTGCGAGCTAGCCGGTCTCTCCCTCCCTCCCTCTCTCCCTCTCTCTGTGCATGGATATGCATGAGTAGTTAGGAATTGCTGCAACAGCTTGTAACTGTGCTAGTTTCTGTGAATCAGGTACATGTTGGAATCTGGTTTTCACGTCACTGCAATCCGGCCCCCTACTGTGCCGTCCAACTCATGCAGGTATTCTGTGTGGCATAATATATACATGCACTATTGAAATCCAAATACTGCTTGGAGTAAGTTGTTAGCATTGGAGTTTGATGTAGAAGTTCAGTGATGCCATTCTGAAAAGGCCATCTGTAGTTGGAACTTTAGATTGAGCAGGTAGAGAAGACTAACTTGAATTGTTTCTCTCTCTCTCTCTCTTTTTTTCCTTTTTAATCAGATTAAGAGTGACTCTTAGCGCGACACACTCCGTGGATGATTTGAAGAAACTGACGGCTGCACTATCCCGTTGCATCAGCCTTGAAGCTATCAGTAGCCACAACAACAACTTGAATGGATATGCCAGACTCTAGATTAATACAAATCCATGTAGAGAAACAAGATTAGCAGTAGGAAACCAAACTGGTGTACTGCTGTAGGGTTTTTCTTAATTTAGGCGAAGCTTCCTAAGGAAGGTATCTTCTGTAAACTGGTTGCTCAATGCTTTCCAGTACAGCTGAAACGCTCAGGTAATGGCGGATTACCAATTTTTTTGTTGTTGTAAAAGAATAGCTACCGTCATCTCTGTTGTAGTCTTGGTTAGGATACTCGGCTCTCACCTGAACCGAGAGACTGCTGTTCGGAGTTCATGGTTTGTAATCACATTGATGATCATAATAGTAGTCTATTATATAAACAAACTCAAACAGATTGCAAATGAAAACCCACTTAAGCAGACATGAATGGTTCTTAATCACAGCTTATGTAATTATTAGCTCTAATGGTAAAGTTTTGGCCTGCGTATAATAGGATCAAAAATACTCTTCCCCTTAGCAATGACACTAAACTCAGAAGCAGTGGGAGCCCCTCTCCCCTTGCATTCCGACCATAGTAGTCAATGGGCCAATTTGACTATTTAGTGGGATGGGGTTTAATTTTCATACCAGAATAATAACTGTTCTAATGTATAACTATAGTAGCATTTCTCCTAACTTAGCCTCGCTTGCAGTCCTTCTCCGACGACGGATTACCACCGCCGATAGCCAGCCATGTCTGTACTCCCAACGGAAGGCATGATGCAGCTGCCATCTGCCATTCCAACACACAGAGCAGTAAGATAGTAGAAAATTTGAAGTCTACGGTCTGTGTCAAATACTCACAAACAATAACAAGTTCATGAGTGACAACTACTTACAGTTCCAGCACTGAAACTCTGATGATGGTTTCTTCTCTGGTAGGTGACTGGACCAGGGGAGACTTGATTCGGATTCTCAGTTCGGGTTCTGGGAACTTCATTGAGGTTGATCAGAGGAGTTGTCGGAGTAGCGCTGTTGTTTCTCCCCTGTCGGCGGAGGATAGAAGGAACAGCAGAGGAAGAAGGTGGTGTGGTTAGAGCTATTGTGAATTCGGATGTCCTTTCAGCTACTGGCCTCATCAACGGGGAAGGAGAGTGCTGAGAGTCGGCGGAGGTGAGTGTGGTTATGGAGGAGGATAAGGAAGAGACAGAAGAAGGAGTTCTAGCGAGGAAGCCATCCAGGTGGACTGTTGGAGAGGAGGCTGTAGCCATGTCAGGCCACAGGAAAGTCCCCCCTGGCTTGCATATCCTGAACCCGCTTGATCTCAGCCTTTGTATTTTGGCTGCTCTGTCTTCCATTGGAGTCGGTGTAGTTGAGTTTTGGCTCCGGTTTCCTTCCTCAAAATGGTGTTCCTCCGATTGTGTGATCATGAGCTGTGTCATTGTTTCTTCTTCTAGTTGCTGCTGTCGTTCCAGTTGTTTCTCTTCTGCTCTATTTCTTGTGGCCATTGCTTCCTAATATGACACCATAAGTAGACATTATTAATGACCTAAATGTGATGTAAAGGAATTTGAATTTCATTCAATATAATACCTCCATGGCAAGTAAGGACTCAGAGACTTCGGTCAGTTGTTCTTCAATTTTTGCCTTCTTATTGGACAGATCGATGAACATCTCCTGCAAAGGTTACGCATTAATCCGATTAGAGGACTGACAATTAAAAGTCAGAAGAGTTGTTGATGAATTTCAGATATACATGCACCTTGAGCGGAATAAGTAGGTTGTCATGTTCCATGCTTAAAGTGGTAAGTGATGAAGAAATTGGCATGGCTGCAATGGCTACTTCTTCCTCCTGTTTCTTGGAAGCCAGGTCTTCCATGTCCCTGATTTCCAATTCATCATCAGTACTCGAGTAGCAAAAGACCACAGCAGCTTAATAGGAATGAAAAGAGAAAAGGTATCGAAGGAAAGGGCAGGATTACCTTTTCAGTTTCTCAACTTGCTCAGTTAGTTTCTTGATCTGGGTGGCGCATACAGGGTCCTGAGAGGGGTTATCACCAGGCTTCCAACCAGGTGGTGGAATCCAGTATGGATCTTGCACTCCAGCCTCCCTCCTTAAGTCTAGCAGATTGGCCTTCTCCAGCCAATACTCCATTGAACCTTCTGCATTGTGCCGCCTCCGGAACCTTTCTTCACCTCCTGGCGCCACCTTCCCTGCCATATGCTTCAGCAAATGGTCCAACAGACCAGTATCTCCAATCAGCCTCCTCGCTTTTGCTCTCAATACTGGCCTTAACATTGGGTTCCCAAACAGTGCCTTCTCCTCTTTCATTATCTTCAACATGTTCACCTCAGCTAGTTGATACCTTCACAAACATAATAATCGTTCCTTAAATACACATTAGTCAAACCATTAAATAGTTTACGAAGCATCAGGTTGATCATAGCACTTACCTTTCAGCAGACCATCTGTCAATTGTCTTTTTAACCACCTTCTTCTTCTTATTGGTCTTCTGCCTGTAAACCACAATCTGATTCTTGTTCTTTCCACGTTTTGGCCTCTTCCTCAGCTGGATTGTAGAGGATGGTAACTGATTCTTCTTTCTTTTCAGATTCTCCCTGCATTCTCTCGTCTTAGCCTTCACAATCACCTCCTCTGTATCTTCTTCTTCCTCACATTCCTCTTCATCACTCGCCGGACCACTATGGTCTTCTTCCCCATCACTTCCATCCTCCTTATCATTTTTCTCCATCCAATCAGAAGGTTCTTCCTTATCCTCCACATGCCTGCCCATGAACCTAACCCTCCGGCGTTGACCCCAGTTGACTATCCCCGGAGTCTTGAGTTCCGACAAGAGTGAATCCTTGGTCAATGCACCACTGCCATTGTTCGTAGACGAGGAACCCTTTAGGCGGAGATTCGAGACCTTCCGGGAAGCAACAGAAGGAACTATCCAAAAGTTCCAGTCCCATTTTTTCTTCGCTACCTCGTCAGGTAGAATTCGCCGGTAAAGAGCCTCCCCTGCAACTTCAGAACCGATTACACATCTCTCGTCTAGCATCGGGATGTGCTTTACTTCCGGCCCAGAACACCCAGTACCGTCGTTGAAGTAAGCTCGGATAGAGTAAATGCTTGGGTACCTCAGTGAAACCCTCATCCTCGTTTTCTCATTCACCTGAACAATCAGACAAACCCAGAGGCGGAAATGAGAAGAAGAAGAAAAAACAGAGAAAGCTGAAGCAGAAACGTCTGGCAAACAGAGAAACGGGGAGAGGAAGGAAATTGGAGAAGAAGACGAAAGAGCTGGGTCCAAAAGAATTACCATGACAACTCGAACACTCTTGAGTTGATCAGGTGCTCTGTTAGGGAGCATGGAATGGTCGATTTCATATAAACAGTTCACTCTTATGTGCTCCGCTGGATCTGCAAGCGTGAAAGACGGTGGAGACGAACTCAGAGTTTGAACCAGAGGAGGAGAAAGCTGGGACGACATATTAACAATACTTGTGAATTGGAAGAGAAGAGAAGGGCTAATCAGGAACGTCGCAGGAGGGGGAAATAAAGGGGGCCGAGATATATATTGAGAGAAAAAGAGGGAGAGAGAAGATTGCTGGCTGCTGCTATAAGTGGAATGGGTTTACCTAGTACCCAAGTGTGTGAATATTCTAACACGGGCGCGGAAGGCAAACCCAACTCCGGTGCTTCCAAAAGAGGTCTTCTCGCGGCGGCGTAGTAGCAGTCCTCTGACGCCAATGGTGGTTTGTGGCCCTTTGAGTACATCATTGCCTGCATGTAAGAAAAAAGGTTCCAATTCCTCGTGTATCAGAGAAGAAGAAGAAAACATCATAACCATTCCGTTTCATTTCGCCATCCTCATTTGGGGATTGTTATTCCCTTCTATCATCATTACTCTGCTATAACAAATCGTATTTCTTTTTTTTTTTTTTTTCATTTCTTTTGCTGTTTGTTTAGAGGAGACATTCCCACGTAAAACTGAGAAATTCAGCAATTAATGCTGGTTTCCGCCCTCGCGCAGCGCGTCGCGCGCGTGACTGAGACAATGGCGGGAAGGGAAGAAAGAAATCCCAAGTGGGGCCACCTTTTCTCTCACCCACAAGCGCGTGGAGAAAGTGTATGTGGGATAACGAGCGTGGAGGGGTTTCAATTCTAGATGGCAAAGAATAACAGAAAAAGCGAATCAAATTTTCGTCCCCGGGGAAAGGGGCGTGTGTTTTTGCAGAGAGCAAGAGAGAGAAAGCGAGAGTGACAGTGAGAGCGAGAGCGAGAGAGAGAGAGAGTAGCAGCTTACAGTCAGACTCCTTGCAGCAGCATCGTGAAGAAGCTCCATCGTCGATTTTGTTCCTGAAACGAAGAAACGACCGTAAATGAACAGTGGGCGTCGGAAACATCGATCATCAACGAATGCAGATTTAGTTGAGAAGGAAGGAGTAGTGAAATTCTGAACTGTGTTTTGAACCAATTCAGAAACTCTATTGTGAATTGCTCCTGAACTAAACCGAAATCAGCTTAGTTAACTTCAGAAGGAAAATCCAGCACGGGCGACGGTGCTTTTAGCTCGAATCGGGGGGGGGAAAAAAAACCAAAAGAACGCAGATACCTACTGTTCTATTCAAGTATTGCACTAAAAAGAAAACGAAGCCAGAAGGCAGACTCGACGGGAGAAGAAGATGAACGATAATAGTATCAAAACGGTGATTAATCTAACCAAACAAATACGCAGAAAGGGAGATTCCAAACACGATTCTTCATTTTCCGATTCTTATTTCAATTTTGTTGAAAAGACCAACAATCAACGGAAACTCTGAAGAATTCGGAGAGGAGCAGAGGAAAAAGAAGAACGAAGATCAATACCTTCTCCCTATATGCAGCTAGCACCGATTCAGAACGGAATCAACGAGACTGGGAACTACTGGAATCGACGAGCAGGAATCCACGAAGAAAATGGAAGATCGATGGAACTGGCTATGTCGATGAAGTCTGGATTAACTACAGCCGGGGGAGAAAAAACAGAGCAATTAATCGGTGAAAAGAGAAGAAGGAGAAAAAGCAGAGAGGAAAGAAATGACGGGGACCTGTTCGTTCTGGGCTTCTGGCTGGATTGGAGAGCAAGGAAACGGAAAAGGGAGGAGGGAAATGAGAGGGAGAGTGAAGAGAGAAGCAAGCTAAGAAACAATGGCTGTGGGAGTGAGAATGAGAGTGAGAGAAACGATCGTGTGGGATTTTGAAGAAAAAGAGAGAGAGACTGGTATTAATGGAAATTCCCCGCTGAACATCACGTGAGCTTGCTTTTCTCCTCCCTCCCCGTCACACACAAAGATAAAAACGACCATGCTTTTCAAGCTAATTACATCCCTGCCATTCACCATAGTTCACAGTCAGAAATTCAACAGTCTCAATTTTCAGGAAGAGTGCCTCTTTTTTCAAGGCCACACAGACCTAACTAACCAATAGAATTTCATGGGACTGTACTTTGGAAGTGAACCCACCTGTCAATCACTTCCGCCCAACCGAACCGAACCGCCCCTGCCTTTCTATTACTTACCTATTTTAGTAATTTTCCCTCGAGTAAGGGCCGGACTGCCAGAGTTTTTTTTTTTTAATAAGGACTGCCAGAGTTATTGGGCTTCACCAAGCCCAAAAAATTTATTTTCTTGGTCTCAATTCTCTCAGTCTCAACCATGGTCACATGAACACCCCTACTTCATACTTGTACAATAGTTCAGTTTCCCACTTCCCATTACATAAAACACATACTTTTGAACGTCCTCAATCTCACGCACCAGTGGACTTGAGACTTACTCTCCTTTCTGGATGAAAATGTAGCCAAAGGCCTCAAGGGATCAATACAACAGAACCTGAGGTCATGCGGCTCTCCAAGTCCGAGTGCGCCTTTGCCGCCTCGGATAAAGGGTACGTGTGGTTCACCCGAACTCGAAGTGCCCCTGATTCCATGATGGCAAAGACATCTGCAGCAGTTTCCAGCAGCTCCTCTCGGGTTGTGGTGTACATCATGAGCGAGGGCCTCGTCAGGTACAAGCACTTTGGTGCTAGAGCGGATAGAGGAATCGGATCCGGTGTCCCTGATGACTGCCCAAACACCACCAAGTATCCGCGGATCTTCAAGCACGACAATGACCCCTGCGCGTTGAATAGTGTTGGATGAGTCTCTGCAACATGACGACATAACATATAGAGCGAGGAAGATGTTGGTGAAGGGAAAGCATTATCCTGTTACCTGAAGTGTGTCCTTCCCCACAGAATCATAGACAACGTTGACCCCCTTCCCGGATGTTATCTCACTGACACGAGCTACAAAGTCTGCTTCTTTGTAATTGATGACATGGTGGCATCCGTCCTCAGTGGCTTGTGCAGCTTTCTCCTTGGTCGACACCGTTCCAATGACAGTGGCACCGAGTGACTTCCCCCACTGACACAAAAGAGACCCTACTCCACCAGCTGCTGCATGAACAAGGATGGTGTGACCAGGCTCAACCTGTAATATGCAGAAGAGAGAACTAGCTCTAAACCCTCGATGATTGCCGAATGTCAAAACCAAATTGTACATTTCTTTTGAAATGTGATTGAGCCTAAGAAACTCCGACCTTGAAACACCGGTGTAATAAAAACTGAGCAGTCATGCCTTTGAGCATGGCAGATGCTGCAACGACAGGGTCAATTGAAGGAGGAACAGGTACAGCTCTATCTACTGGAAGTATCTGCTCTTCTGCATATGCTCCCATCGGATTACCAGCATATCCAACAATATCGCCCACTTTAACGTCAGTTACTCCATTTCCCACAGCAATCACCTCACCAACAGCCTCCATTCCTGCAAAGCAGGAAACTAGTGGGATCAGCATGCAATAAGAACATAAAAGCTCACTACTTTCAGCATGAAAGTACTTCAAAATTGGATGAACTAGCTAGTTGGTCCGGTCCCTCTTGCTCCACAATACACAAAATCTACTCAGCGCCAACAAATTAAACATCCTTCCCCTGAAGCAGCTTTCATATAGTACGATAGATAGCAACTGAAACAAGCAATAACAAGCTAAACCCAGAAGAGGAAAGCAATTCAAAAGAACAAGGACACCACCTGGAGTGAATGGCAATTTGGCAGGTTGGTAAACTCCTTTACGGAAATAGGTATCAATGAAGTTGAGCCCAATCGCTTTATTCTTTACCAGAATCTCGCCTTCCCCTGGCTGCCCGATCTCCACATCCTCCCACTTCAAAACCTGCACAATTTACCCCCCAAACGTTCACAAAAACTGGAAACTTTGATTTCCCTCAGAAATGAACGGAAATTCCCTCAACCTAGAGCTATCAGCACAGGAATCCAATTCGACTCTCGATTCCAGCTGCTGGGTTCCCTCCAAAATCAATTGAATTGTATCTACTAGCAATCGAAAATCACAATCATCTTACCTCAGGGCCACCCAGCTCATGAACCTTGATCGCTTTCACCATTTTCGTGATTGAATCAGAAGTTGACACCAGAGCCCTTACTGCCGATCTTCGATGGGTTGTTGAGGGAGACGAATATGAGAGAAGCGTTCTGCAATTACTGGTCGGCTTTCGGACAAAAGTTGCGCTACCAGAATAGTGTGGAAGAAGAACTCGAGCCGTCAGAGTAGGCAGAGTTTGACTTAGCCACTTCACTCTCACCGAACCCATTTACCCCTCGCAGTTTAACCCACCCGCCGCCACGCATGCAGGGAACCGAAAAGCGGCAGCACTGTCCCGTAATTCACTGAACACGAAACTGTATCTTGAGGAACATTTTTGTGTGGACTAGGACATGGGCCTTAAGGTCTTGGGCCTTGTGACTCCAAGCCCTCGAGAGTAAGAATAAGAAACCAAACCGGCAAACATTGCAGGATCTTCGTCCCCATATTATTGTACACTTTTTGTTGACTACTTTTTTCGGTTTCAAATCTCTTGAAAGTGTAAGTAGGAAGGGTATTTTTGTTTTTACAATTAATTATTTATCTCACATAAAAAATATGGTTAATACCCTACTTTGGCCCAAAGTTTAGCATAAGTGTCAGTTTAGGCCCAATTTTTTCAATAAGACATTTTTAACCTACTTTTCAATTTAATGGACAGATTTGGCCCAAAATTGATGTTGACTGTTAAAACTGACAGTCAATGTATTTTTCTGTTAGTGACTTAGCATCTTATGCCGTAGTGGCTATGACATGGTTGCCGTGTCAATTACTTGCCAATAAAAAACTAAACAAATAACTAAAAAAATAAAAACAAGAAAAACCCTCTCCGCCATTATTCTTCCCACTTCGCCTGTATTTCCTTGATTCCTTCTTGCGTCTTTGGTATCCCGGCAACGTCCGTCCCCCGAAAAGAATAGCAACAACGAGTGGCAATGACTCTGAAGGAGTCTCCATCTCTTCCATTTCCTTTTCCTGGAGAAGGTGCAGTGGACGACGAGGAGAGAAGATGGAATCGTCAGCCTCAGATCCCTAACTGCTAGCTTCCCATCGCTTTCGATTTTACTCCAGATCGATTCGAGGGAGAAGATGAAATTCGAGGGAATCCGCCGATCTTGCTGACGACGACGAAGTGGAATCTGAGGGGACGGCTACCGTGACGGATGGGGAAGGTAGAGGCGCTTGTGGACGGGAAATCCATAATTTTTATGCTATTTATTTTTGTTTTATTTGTTATTATTTAATTTTTATTTTTTTAGCATAAATAAATGACATGGAAGCCACATCACTGCCACTTCAGCTCTAGATGCTGAGTCACTAACGAAATAAGTGTTTGACTGTTAATATTAACGGTCAAAGAAAATCTCGGGGCAACTTTGTTCAATAATTTCAAAAGAGGGTCACGAATGTCTTATTTGAAAAATGGGGTCAGAACTGTCACTAACGCTATACTTCGGGTCAAACTAGGGTATTAACCCTAAAAAATATCAACATCAGGATTTGAACTCGGGTCTGTTAAAACAAAGACAACAATCACAACCATTTACACTAAACAAATTTGTTATGTCTTTTTGAATACAAAATATACACGAAGCTCAACTCTCTGAAAATCGCAGAACTTTCCATCATGATTAGCAAACCCACTAAGTATACCGTATATATTTTTATGGTGCTTGATACTTCAATTTTCATTGTAGAGTTTCATGTACTTTCTCAATTTTAAAATTTTTTCTCTCTCCTTAATTTTTGCTATAGGTAAATTGGTAATTGGCTAACATGGAAAAAACTAATTTTGTCACTACATATTGTGTCCTTGCATTTTTCAATTTAAATTTTATGGTTTTTATCTTTGTTCTCATCTCTTTCTAACTTCCTCGAAAATTCCCTCCATCGTACAATAGTTTGCACCCCTTTCACTTCCCAATACAGGACCGCTTTTGAAAATCAATCATCTTGTATCTCTTGGCACGTCGGTTTTATTGTTGGGAATTTAAGTTGGGCATGTAAAAGAGTTTAATAAATAATGGAGTTGCAGAAGGAGGATTAGAAATTGAATTTTTGATTGAAACATATGTCTCTTGAGATAAATATTTGGTTGTACAACGAAGAGTGGTGGCTATTGGATCTTTATATTTATGGTTTTTACATCTATCACAACATATTTCTATCTTAAAATGAGGAATCATTGATTGATTTATTGAAGTAGGTCGATTCTTTATTCAACCTACTGGAACTGATAGACAAGGAGTGTCTAATTTTGTGCCTTATTACTTTGATTGAGTCTATTAATATATTGGAGATAACCCTAATTTTGTCGTTTGCTCTCAAGTTTTGATGGTCTCCTCTTAGCTGAGTTGTTAGTATATAGTCGTCTTGAATCAACAACTCTCCATTTCTTTTTTATTAGTGGCATGTTGTTCATAAAAGGAGCGCATTAAACCCTTATGTAGGATTGTGAGGTTTAAGATTTAGTTTCAAACTATCTATGGGTCATGTGGAATTTCACTGACCTTTTATACCCTCTTTCTCGACAATCAACTAACCAATAACATTTTAATGAGGGCTTAATTATCATTATGAAAATGGAACTAAGGATACATTTTATATTCTTAAATGATGATGGTATTTCTCCGAATGTTAGATCTATATATTCTTTCTTTATGCATCATCTCGATCGAAGGATTGTCAATAAAATTGAACTGGTTGATTAGCTTAAACGTAACATAAAAATATAAATAATCAAATATGAATATTCCGGTCAATGAGTCAGGTTATAAGCTAGTTGTCTAATATCACAATTTAATTACACCATCCTTTTTGTGGTAAACCCATTGGTTGCCACTTGCCACTTAAAATTTAACAACACATTATATAACCTTAATAGGGTTTTGGTTTTATAGATGTTCCAATGGATGCCAAATAGATGGTTTTAGGATTAATGTGAAACTAGTGCCGGTAAACGGTTATCATATTAACGGTTTAACTGATAACCGAACTAAAATTGGTGTTTAACGATTAAATCAATTAAGCATTAAACGATCGGTTCTCAGTAGTTATATTTAGCTAATTACTAACCGATGATTAAACTGTTAACCGACTAACCGATTGCGACTATCCTCATAGTTAGGCTCGCAAATAGTAGGCATCGATAAGCTGCATGAATAGGTATAAATAATGAGATGTTGAAGGCCCAAAAGATCCTACCTATCCTAGTTGTAACTTGTGACTTATATTCAAAAGAGAATAATTTCAAAGAAGGTCTTTAGAAGGAGCATAGTAGAAAGTTGAACTTACACATAATAGCTCGACAACAATCGGGGTAACATTTGAGCTTCTATGTAATTTGGTGGGGTTTATCAGTTGAGTAATTGTTGTTGGATCTCTTATTCTGATCTACTTCCTTAGTAAAATACTTAAGTTTGATATAGAATGATGTTATTTTGTACTTGCGTTGGATTTAGTTTATTATAGATTGATATCTATGTTAAATTATATTTTTCAATGCAAAAACCTGTAAAAAGAACACATACGTATATAGAAAAAAGTCTACAAAAATGTACAATGTAAAAATGGAAGAGGTCTTCTGTTGGTTAGGTTGCTAATTGATTATTTTGGTATAACCTTGTCGAGTCACTTGCTTAACGGTTAACCGGTTAACCTACACGAGAAACGAGAATCGAATGTATGGTTATGTTTAACCAACTAATATAAACGATGTGATTAACAGTAAGTAGTATGTGTTTAATAGTTAACCGATAACCGACTAAACGGTTTCCATTATAACCGAATAGATTGTCAGCTCTCCTATGCGAAACTCAGAGAATGGATTTATATAATTTCCTTAGGAAAATGCTATACATGATTCACGTGAATATAGTACAAAATTTTCTGAAGTCTCCACTCGTAGTGTTTCTGAAGTTCTTGTCTTGTCCTTTTAGATGACTAAATAAAATTCATCTATGAAACATTAGATACAATTATTAATTCATAACCGACCAATTCATGATACGCAAATAGTAATTACACAACCCATCATGACCACACATAACGCATTATAAATTTTCTAATACCCTCCCTCTATTAAATTCAAACCATTAGGTTGACTTCTTAATCTAAAGACTTTGACTTGCTTGAGTAGGTTAGCACCTAATCAGATTGCGTGACCTAACTCCTGATACGTTATTAGGAGACCCATACTTGCTTGAGCTTAAGGATTCATGAACTAGTAGTATCAACTATCACAAGTACAAATAGACGCTTGTATCCTATATTCCAATTTGACCAAGGCAGGTAGATAGTTACATTACATGGAACCACATACCCAGTTACATGTCCCAACGAGAATGGGAAGAACTGCATCACGGAATCAACACCACAGACCCAGTCGTCTTCCGGCTCTCCAAGTCCGCATGTGCCTTTGCAGCTTCAGATAAAGGGTACGTATGGTTAACCCGAACTCGCAGTACCCCTGACTCCATGTTGGCGAAAACATCAGCAGCCGTCGCTAGCAGCTCCTCCCGGGTTACGGTGTACATCATGAGAGAAGGTCTCGTCAAGTATAAGCACTTTGGCGCAAGAGCAGATAGAGGAACTGGGTTGGGAGTCCCTGACGACTGACCGAAGCTCACCATGTATCCTCTGATCTTTAAGCATGCCAGTGATCCCTGCTCGTAGACAAGTAATGATTCCAAGTTAAGAGTACTCCCAAACCCATTATATAGAGAAGGATCTTAAAATGCATTTCAAGTACCTGAAACGTGTCCTTTCCCACGGAATCATAGGCCACATCGACCCCTTTCCCTGACGTTATCTCTGTGACCCGAGCTACGAAATCTTCTTCTTTGTAATTGATGACATGGTGGCATCCATCTTCCGTGGCTTGTGCAGCCTTTTCCTTGGTTGACACGGTTCCAATAATAGTTGCACCAAGGGACTTTGCCCACTGGCACAGTAGAGAACCTACTCCTCCTGCTGCTGCATGAACTAGGATAGTGTGCCCATGTTCAACCTATACCATGTGAAGAGAGCATTTATAAGCAACGAGCCGCAGTAGATGATCAACCAAGATCAGAAGCCGACTATAATGAATAACCAAGAAGTCGAGAGGTCGTTTCGACAAAACAATGAACCACGAGGCTCCTATTTGTTTTTCCACTGGTACAAAAATCAAACAGTAAGTGATACATGATAGCTGGGGATTTAACTTCTTAATAATGTGCAATTCAGCCGTACCAGAAAAACCCCACCTTGAAACATTGGCGTAATAGGAATCGAGCAGTCATGCCTTTTGACAAGACAGATGCTGCAACAATGGGGTCGATTGAAGGAGGAAGATGTATAGCCCTATCGGCAGGGAGAATCTGCTCTTCTGCATATGCTCCCATGGGGTTGCCTGAATATCCAACAATATCACCCACTTTGACATCCGTTACACCGTTCCCCACAGCTATCACCTCTCCGGCAGCCTCCACGCCTAAAATACCAAAAACTTCCTGAGTTCAACATTCAATGATAACAACTCACAGACTCAACACTTAAAACCATAGCGAGTTTTTCAAACAGGAAGAACAGAACTAATAGCCAATTAGCCAACAATTGTCTACAAGCACATTATGACATAAACCCAGGTAAGTAGCCAGTGTTCAAATCATAGATGAAGAAAACAAACAAACTGGTGTGAATGGAAAATTGGGAGCTTTGTAGACTCCTTTGCGGAAATAAGTATCAATGAAGTTGAGCCCGATCGCCTTGTTTTTAACCCTAATCTGCCCTTCTCCTGGCTCTCCTATCTCCACATCCTCCCATTTCAGTACCTAAATCGTTTACCAAAACTGATCACCACAACTCTGATCTCAAAAGAAAAGGAATTTTCAGCAACATATAGCAAAAAAATTAGCCTAATTTGCGTTTCGGATTTCGATTTCGGCTGGTGGGTTCCTCACAATGGAGAATGAACTGAAATTACCTCAGGCCCGCCCAGCTCGTAAACCCTCATCGCTTTCACCATTTCGGGGATTTGAATCAGCCTCTGAATCCAAGCGCTCTGATTCCTGAAGGCCGATCGATCTTCGATGGTTCTCCTAGGCGGGAGAGACGAATACGAGATACGGGATTTGCAGTTGCAGAGACGATTGTGGGCGAGAAGCACAGTCGAGCCGTTAGGAAGAGTAGAGTAGAGCTCAGTTCGACTAACGGTCCAAACCGGAGCTGGCCAACCCGCCACGTATCAGAAATCCGAATGAGCGACGGCGCGGCTAATATTTTCTTTTCTTATTGCGGCTTAACTGGGCCGCCCCCGCATTTCCTCCATAGTGGGCTGCGATAGATCCTTGAAAATTTCTGGGCTTTGGTGAGAACCCAGAGTTTCTATTGTTGTTGTTTTTTTTTTTTACTTTTTCTTTTATGGCACTTCTTTCTTTGGGATATTCATTGGGTTACGGGCCAAGGTAGGTCTTAGGGATGGCAGGCCGCGGCCCAAATCCGGGTATCCGCCCGAAGCCCGCCCGATAAGGGCCCAGGTGGTCAGGGATCTCTGGCCCGTCAACGGGTGGCGGGTAACCCGAAACCCGTCAACCATGGTTTTCGGGTGGTGACGGTTTGCTCAGTATCCGCCCCGCGACCCGCGCGACAGTTTAACCGTGTACAAAACGACGGCGTTTGGTGGGAGATATATAATCTCTCAGTTCCCTTGGAGAAACCCTAGCAGCCGCCTCATTTTCATTCTTCACCAAATTTTACAGAAACCCTAGTTCCCTTTTTCTCTCTGCCTCCTCTCTGGCGATTAACGATCAGATCGCTAGATAATCGCGATCTGGCCAATTTTTCGTCATTTTCCCTCATCAAATCCTCCATTCGACCAATTGCATGGCTCAAAGAGCCACCATCCGACGAAGATTTCGTCGGCCGCAGTCCAAAAACGAGTCGTTGCCTCGTTGGAAGTTCAGATCGCTGATTCTTCGAGAAAAGATAAGTTATTTCTGCCTTTTCTGGGTTTCTTATCTTTTCTTTCAAGCATCTTCCCTGATTCCTCGTTCCCCTAACTCTCTACTGGGTACTGACTCTTCTTTTACTTGTATATATAGGGGGGATTCAAAGCGCAAAGCTCGTTTCTCACCACGCCATCTTCTGAGTTCTGAAATCGAGAACAAGAACACCCCAGTCGAGTCAACAGAGAGCAGAGACCGAGGGATTTAGCTGACCGCCCGAGCCTCCAGACAGAGTCTAGTCGTCGAGGGTAATTTTCTTGATCTCGTCTATACCTTTTGCCGATTTATGGGTTAGTGGTCTCATAATACAGACATGCATGCATTAAATTCCAGTTCTTCTACCTTGCTTTGTGTTCTTTGTTCACTAACTCTTCTTGTTCGCTCTTGTTTGGGCTAGGTTGGTCACTTGGTCTCGTTTGGAACTTTGGATCTGGTTTACTGGTTTAGAGAACTGAAGCAGAACATAGTCAGTGAGCAGTGAGGAGCAGTCTACTGTCATTGGGTACTCGACAGTCCACATAAAACTACAATCCGAGAAGGTAATCCCAGTCCTCTCCTAACTCCTAAATCCTAATCCTCAACTCACTGTGTTTGACTGTTTGTTCATAATGCTTGACTGTTTGTTCATAATGCTGCGTCTTGTTGTGACAATTAGTAAATTCATAATGCTAATAAGTAAAATTAATTAAACTGTAAGCGTGATTTTGAGAATAAAGATGTTTGTTTGCAAGTTTAGTTTTGTCATTGTGAATGTAACTAAGTTAATAACTATTAACTAAGGCTTAATGTTCAGATGGAATGTAACTAAGTTAATAACTATTAAGTATTAACTAAGGCTTAATATATATTATGTTCAGATGGAAGGTGCTCCTACTGCTATAAATGTTGACATTGCTCCCAATGTCAATGCCCCTGAAAATGGTGTCCAAGTCCAACCTCAACCTGAACAACCTGTCCAACCTGAACCTGAACAACCTGGTAATGTTGAGGAGCTTGAAGCTCAACGTAAGTTAACTTCTGATGTGTGGCCTCACTTTAACCGAGTTAGGGTTAATGGGGTTATGAAGGCTAGGTGTAAGTACTGTCGTAAATCCCTTGGTGGGGAAACAAGTAATGGAACTTCACACCTAAGAAGCCATATCAAAACATGTATCCAAAAGAGGATACATGATGGTTCTCAAAAAATACTTGGCCCTAACTATAAACCCGCTGGAAATCCACAACTCTCTGCTTCTCAATACAATTATGAGGTTTCTAGGAAGGAACTTTGTTCAATGATTCTGGTCCATGAGTACCCCCCTTAGCCTTGTTGATCATGTGGGTTTCAAACGTTTTTGATGTTCTCTTCAACCTCAGTTCGCTGTTCCTAGTAGAAACCATGGTTCAGGAAACCGTACCGGACATCATACCGGAATCATCCGTGGTAGGGTATTTTGTGGTACAACCCTTTTGTGCCAGTAAATATCGTTTTAATAATAATATAATATTATTTTTGTAAAAAAACCGTATCGACAAGTTAGAGTATCGTTTCGGAATAATACCGGAATAAAACCGGAATATACCGAAATAAAAAAAAAGGCACATGTCATGTCTCCCATCTCATTCCACTTTTCCTAATGCTGCCACCCACTCCCACTCCCACGTTTTCCCCTCTCTCTTTCTTTAATTATTATATATTTCTTTGATACTTTTCCCTATCTCTTCGCCTCCCGCAAGCCTCTCTCTCCCCTTGTACATTTTCTTTTCTCTCTTATTCTCACTGATCCTATCTCTTTCCTTCTCTTCCTCTTCTTAACGCTCTGTTTGGAAAGAGGAGGAAGTGTAGGGGGGCGCAAAATCAAGGGGTAAATTCCATTCCCAATGATTTTGCACCTGTTTGGGAACATTTTGAACAGTAGGGGGCGGGCAGTTAGAGGTGCAAAACTACTGTTTGAACAAGCCCCCCAAATTGGGGTGGAAGTGGAGAGAGAAAAATTGACGAGGCTTTCATTCTTTTTTTTTTTGTTTCTTTTTAAATTCCTTTTCCTCAATTTCGTTAGTTATTTCTTCTCCCAATCGTCTTCTCCGATTGTACCCAGGCTGCACTCGTTCCTCCTTCCGCGACGGCAAAGCTGCTCTGCCTTCAGACCGGATTTCCTCTCCGGCAGCTGCCGTCCTCAATTCCTAGCTCGTTGGTGGCCTGTAAAACAGAGTATCTGAAGGCGGGGAAGATGAAAACAACAACAACGATGGCAAAATTGAGTGTCCGCCGGCCTGTTGTCCCCTCCGTCGTCCCAGATCGGAGGACTCGTCCCACATGAAAATCCAGATCAATAAACCACTCACCTAGATCTGTTTTGGTCGCAGCTTAGAGCCATAAAAATTGGTCGTGTGGTTGCCTGGTGGCTTGATCCAAAGGACTGAAGAGGCAAGCAGGAGAGGGATATTTCCCAAGGTTAGAGACGAAGAAGTGAAGATGGGAGAAAGAAAAGCTTGTTTTTTTTTTGTGGAAGAGAGAAGGAGAATTGGGCGGCAACAATGGGGGAAGGGGGTTGGATCAGAAAGATTGGGGAGAGAGAAGAGAGAGTGGGAAGTAAAAAGCTAAAAAGAATAAGAAAATCAAATATAATATTAATTTTTTATTACTTTATTCACTTTTATATTATAAATAATATATCAACACCTCTATTTACACCCTCCTACTTTTTCTCCCAAACAACAATTTGCACCCCAATTTGCACCCTTTTATAATTTGCTCCCTCCAACAATTTACCCCTCACTTTGCACCCTCCTCGAATTTGCACCCCCCCTTGTTGCCAAACAAAGTGTAAAACAATGGCCGCCGGAGGTTATGGTGCTGGCTTCGAGATCTCCACCAGCGATAACATCGACGCCGACGCCAACAATAACAACATTCACCAACAGAGCTGCAGCAGCCGCCGCGGGAATTGCCGTAGCGCCACCAGCAGCAATAGCAGCTGTCGTCGTCTGCCGATGGCGGCGTAGGAAGATGAATCGAGAACCAACAGCAATACCAGCCTCAACAACGAAGCAGCCACCTCCACTTCCAAAATCGCCGCCGCCGCCGCCGAACAAGAAGTTGTCGTCAGGATGCCGGAAAACCGATTAATGGCAGGCTCCGCTTCCGCTTCTTCCTCCTCATCCTCCTCGTGGCTCCAGCTCAGCATCGGCGGAGGGGCTCCGGTTGAAATCCCAGCGCCGAGCAATAAAGAACACCACATCATTTCTCGATCTCGTCCTTCTAGCCGGTCTCCAGAGGCAGGGCTGAGCTGGAGCAGGTGAAGGAATGTCGCGGCAGGGAGGGAGACTTGGCGGCGTTCTCGAGCAGCCGAGTTCGTCCTTCTCTCCGCCGTCGTCGGTCGTCACTCGCAAGAGGTAGGGGTGAGCTGGAGAAGAGAAGAGGAGCGGCGGATTAGGGATTCGGAATTAGGGATTCGGAATGGCTATTGAGTATGGAAGTGATTTTTGTTTTATTTTTCCCTGTTTCAAACGACGACGTTTTCTTTGCAAAACAGGAAACCGCCGGTTGGAACAAAATCGGGCGGTATTTCGCTTAGAACCGGTTAAACCAAAAATTCCGGCCGGTATGGTATTTATAGCAGCAAGTGTATACCGTTTCGTTTCTGGTCTGGTTTCCGGTTTTACCGGTTCAACCGGCCGGTACGATCCGGTTTCCTGGACTATGGTAGAAACACTGTCAAAAAGGACATTTTGAGTTTGTATGGTGTTGAAAGGGGTAAATATCAGACCATTATTGATGGTAACCTGGGTCGGGTTTCAATTACAACTGATTTGTGGACTGCCAGAAATCAAAAAAGGGGTTATATGGCAATAACTGGTCACTTCATTGATAACTCTTGGAAGCTCCGTAACATAATGATGAGATTTATGTATGTTCCAGCCCCTCATACTAGTGAAAGGCTTGCTGATAGGTTGTTTGATTGTCTTTTGGATTGGAACATTGATGGTAAGTTGTCCTCAATCACATTGGACAACTGTACCACCAATGATTCCATGATTTTCCACATGAGAACTAAGCTTCTGAGCAGTGACTTGTTGCTTGATGGTAAATTGGTTCATATGAGGTGTTCTGCTCATATTCTGAATTTGATTGTAAGGGATGGTTTGGATGCAATCAAGGATGCTATAAATTTGATTAGGGAGAGTGTAGTTTACTGGAATTCTACACCTAAGAGGGTTCAAACCTTCTTCGAAGTTGCTAAGCAACTTAAGCTATCTTTTGAGAAAAAGTTAGTCCTTGATTGTCCAACTAGGTGGAATTCCACCTATCATATGCTCTCTGTTGCTATTCCCTACAAGGATGTTTTCTTTCGTTTGAGTTTGAGAGACAATCATTATACATCAGTTCCTTCTAGTGAACAATGGGAATTTGCTTCCACTGTGATTGGGAAGCTGGAAATCTTTTCTGAGATTACTGAGTTGTTCTCTGGTTCCAAATATCCCACTGCCAATCTGTTCTTCCCTAAGATATGTGATCTCAGACTTACACTGAATGAGTGGGGTCTTGATCCCAATCCTGTGATTTTTGGAATGGCTAGTCAAATGTCACTGAAGTTTGATAAGTACTGGGATGATATCCATCTTGTGCTTGCTGTATCGGTTGTTTTGGATCCTAGATATAAACTCCATGTGATTGAATACTATGCTGGAAAGTTTGGGAATACAGAAACTGGTTTGGTTGCTGAGAATACCAAGCAAATGATATGTGGTTTGATTCGTGATTATCAAACCAAAGCTGAGAACAAATCTGGTTCTGAATCTGGAACTTCTTCTTCTGGTTCTGGAACTGCCTCTGCCACTGAACTTGATTTTGAACTCTTTGTAAGTCCAAGGAAAAAGAGTAAGACTTCCTTGATTACAACTGAGTTGGATATGTATCTTGCTGAGGATATCATTCCTCGCACAGCAGAGTTTGATATGCTCTTGTGGTGGAAATTGAATGGTTTGAAGTATCCGACCTTGCAATCAATTGCAAGGGACTTTCTGGCAATCCCTATTACTTCTGTGCCTTCTGAGAGTGCATTTAGTTCTGGTGGGAGGTTGTTAGACCCTCACCGGAGCAGGCTGCATTATTCGACTGTGGAGGCAATGATGTGTACTAGGAGTTGGATAATGGAGGACATGCAACGAGGTAAAATGCAACTAAATCTCTCAACTTTATTGGTTTACGTTTTAAGAATAGTTTGAACTCATTCAACTGGTTCTATGCAGATTCGGAGGCTGCTGTGGAGGGATTGGATGGACTCTTCTCAACAATGACACTCGAAGATACAAGTGTGGAAGAGGCAGAACCTGGTGGTAAGATCAATAATTCATTTTTCCATTATGTGTTCTAATTTATATTACTTCATTGAGGAATACTTACATTTGCATTGTTTCGCTTTTTCAGGTCCAGAACTCACCTTAATGAGATCACCATTTGCCCATGAAGACTGATTGGTATTTGGTAATCTGCTGTGGGACCAAGGTAAATGTTTTTTGTATTTGTTGTCGTTGATGCATTATTCATTTTAGTCTTTACTAAGTACTAACTGAAACATTCCTCTTGTGTGTACTTTATTCAGTTTCAATTGATGATTGCTGGTCTGCTGGTTTACATCGATTGGAATGAGGGTCAGGGGTGGTCGGGTGGATGATTCTCAATGATTCAATGTTGCTGGAACCTAGAAGGAATGTTGCTGCGTTGCTGTTGCTTGAACTATTTCAGTCTACTGTTTTTGGATAAGAATTAGACATTTAGAATTTTGGGAACGTCTTTCTTTGGTTGTTTGGTTCATTTGATTTGATAATTTCTATCACAAACACGAAACAGATGTTGTTTTTGGTTGTTGTTGCTTAGCTGCTTGGCTTGGCAAGCTTTCAGAGTTTCAGTTGTTTATTTAAGGTCTTTTTAACAAACCAGTCAGATTGAATAAAGTATCCAGTTTCCAGATTTTTTTTTGTCATTTTCATCTTTATTTTCATGGTTTTGTAGCGGGTATTTTAGACCCGCGGGCACCCGATTAACCATTGGGGACGGAGATGGTTATCCATCCAGGCCCGCTAGTCCGTTTTGGCCGGGGACGGGGATACCCGAGGCCCATGGTGGGCGGGCAACGGATCCAGGGTACCCGCCCCCGATCCGCCCCGTTGCCACCCCTAGTAGGTCTTTTCCAGTAAAAAAAAATAATGTTTTCATGTAGATTTAACACAAGATCTCTTGTAAATAACAATATTTTGTGATTTATATTTAATTTCTCATTAATATCTTAATAGGGATGGCAAAGGGCGACTTTGCTGAACTAACTCCATTCTCATTTTCAAACATAGTTAGTAAATACTTCGTTTGATACACGTATATGTACCCATACGTACTTTATCCGTTTAAAACTTATGTATCCGTATATTGTCAAGCCGTTTCATTAGTTTCCGTTTATTTGACGGCTACCGTACTAAACACGTATAAAACCCGTATAACACGTTTAATATCCGTATTTAATAAAATAAATTAATAACTTTACTATTTTTTTACATGTTTATTTATTTATAAAAATAATTAATTTTATATACTTATGACTATTAACGTACTATTAAACGTAACATTAGCTAAGAGACGAAGTATAATACCCGTACGTATTTTATACGTAACTTTCCCATACCGTATTTTACTAACTATGTTTTCAAATACCCAAACTCATACCCGCCTCATACCCATACGATCAATGACGGATTCAGGAATTCTAAATAGTGGTGTCCTCTCTAAAAAATTAAATTAAATAATTATTAAATATGAAATATCTGACAAGTAAAAGTTATTTTAAAAGTTCAAACGAGTTTCGTAAAATACATTCGGTGTCTATACTGCTCAACAAATTTCTCTCGACAAATCCTACTAGATAAGGATATCTCATAATTGGGTTTAATCCGTAGATTTTGAAAATAATTTGTGATAAGAATAACATTTTACTATTATATTTGGATCTAAAACAAAATAACAAATGAGTTGTAGTGTAATTGAAAATATGTTTAGTAATAGTGGCAGTGTCGCAAGTTTAAATCACATAGAATATTACTTAAATATTATTTGTACCAATACGTAAATTACTACTGGAGGTTGGATAATCCGTTTCCCAAATTCTAAGGGTGTCTCACTACCACTTAAACATTTTTTTTTGCTCATACCACTTAAACATTTTTTTTTTGCTCATACTAGTAGGTTGAATAATCGTGTTTCCAAATTTTAGGGGTGTCCCGGGATACCCCTAAACATGCATGTATCCGCCACTGCATGCGGTGTAAGGTTTTACAAATTCATCCTCATATCCCGCGATTTTTGGATGCCCATGGGTAATACCCGTTAGGGGTGGGCATTCGGTCGGTTCGATTTCGACCGAACCAAAATTATGAATACCGGGTCCCCGAATTCTCCAAAGCCTCAAACCAAATTCGAACCGAATTATAATTTGGTTCGGTCGGTTTAAACCGATTATAATTTGGTACGGTTTTTCACACAAAACCGAATTGTGAGGCTACTTGTATCTTCTCACTTTTAGATTATTTTTCACCCATAATATAAACAATAAATATGCAATTATATGCATCATCAATGATAAAATCAAACTTTTTAATACATAACCATAAGTCATAAAACATTTCAAATATTTAGGTCTAAAAACAACTACAAACATAAAAATCCACCATTTGGATGTTGCAATTATAGTATTTCGGTTTTTCGGTCGGAAAATCAGAATTTCGGTTCGGTTGAAGGAACCTTGATTTCCGAAGTATCCATATTTTGCTTCAGAATTCCGAACCGAATAGCAATATTTCGGTTTCGGTTCGGTTTAGTTTGGGTTTACCGAACCGTCTGCCCACCCCTAATACGCGCCCCATCACCTGCTCACCATTAATATAAGAATATGGTGACAAATATGGATACTACCCGCCTTTTTTTTTACAAAAGATAATCATATATATTGATTGGAACAAAAGCTATTACATCTTGGATAACAGCCAGGCCTGGAAATCAAAATAACGACTTGTAGCCGGATACAAAACAAGGGCCTTTCTAGCCACCAAATGGGCTACCCTATTGTTATTCCGACTTACAAAACGAACGTTGAAAGCACTATGATCTGTAAGCATCCCAATAAGCTCCTCCAAAACCGCCCCAACCTGGACATCATTCGCATCCCTCTTTCTAAGTTTGTCCACGACATTCTGAGCATCCCTCGGAAACAAACATCCTGAAAGCCCAACGCTAGGCACCAAGCTACTGCTTCCAGCAGAGTCAGCACCTCAGCCACCAACTCTAGGATACTACCCGCCTAAGTTTGTGGAATAATACAAAACAACATATATCTAGCTAGCTGGAGCAGATGCAATGGCATAAATTGTCATTACAGTAACAGCCCACGCTGCAACGACCGAGATCTTCAGGCTGGCACATATTTGGGTAATAATAAGCACAGTTGGTGTCGTTGCACGTATCGTCGCAGTGAGACTGTAACGAAGAAGAAGAAGAAGTTCTGTTACCACTGGAGGATGTGATCATCACCACACCTTTGCCTCTTTTCGGCGGCGACCTCTCCTCGTTCCTGAGGGAGCGAGGATATAAAAAAAAAAAACAAATCGTTTTAACTCGAATTTTTCAATTTTGAAAGAAAAAGATAACGGAGCCAATGAGCTAGATGTCGGAGATCATAATGATCACGTACATATTGATTAGGATCGAACGGACCAGAATGCAGAGGTAACAACAGCTAGGTTGCATTCTGGCCCATTTAATCATATAATAATCAATGTACGTACGATAATTATGATCTCCAAGCTAGACCGGCGAAGCAGTTTCGGTCAGTGAGATAATATGCATACCTGACATGAATCGGAGCATAGTCGTCGTCCACATTCTCCAATTGCGGACTAACTACTACTACCCTTGAAGGCAAAACACCTGCATGAAAATATGTAAGGACGATGAGAAGCAAGACGGCCAACTTGATTGCAACAGTACTACTACTGGGGATCGCCATGGCTCTGTATGCTTTTATTTAATTTCTCCCCTTCTTTAATTGTTTTGAGATCTTTAATTTTGATCGGCACTACTGCTGCTAATTAATTACCAAGTGTTTATGTAGTATCAAGAGTGCTCCAGACTTGGGTATCTCTGCCTTATATAATTCGTTAATATTTTTGTACTTATTTCAGATTGATTGATTGATTAATTAATTAATTAATTGATCGATCAATCAAAGGTCCCCCTAGGCTACCAATTAAGCACATATAAGCCGCCTTTGAAAAGTATAAACGGCAGAATCCCTTCAACCAAATCAAGCCGGGAAATGTAGTCCAAAAAACACAAGTGAATGATCTTTTGTGCCGTGACGGCAACAGGCTCTCCTCGAATTAGCTAGCGACAATTTTATTTTATCACGACACTGATGAAAGGTGCCGTCTTCCTCAATCTATCAGAACGATGACGTTTTGCCTTTGGACACACGACGATGTTTCACCTTCAACGGCACCACTCAAAGAGTCGTCCTTCCAAGTCTTCTCCTCCAGATGACATTATTTTCGTTCTGCTCAACCCTAGCCTCCAGTCTACAAGGGCGGCAGCAAAACTCCAAGAAGATCGTCGGTGATGGTGCACAGACATCACCGACTCTATGACGGGCCATGATGAAGATCAAGAGCGTCTCAATCCTTCTGCAACGGTCAATTCCCTCTTTTAGTATAAATAGCTTCCTCTTGCCTTCAATAAGTCTTGGACAGTCTGTAGTAAGAGAGAAAATCGGGAAAGTTCTTCTTCTACTTTGGGTCCATTAGTTTATTACTTTAGTAGTTTGATTCACAGAGTGCGATCTGGGTGAATAAAACTTGGGAAGTAGGTTGTTATTTGAGAGTTTCAAAGTGCCAACTTCGTTGGCATGATTCAGAGAGTTTCTTTGTATAAAACCATTCCGCTGTAATTTCTTTTTCAACTCAATAAATTAGTTTCTTCTTTACAAGTTGTTTCAGTGAATGAAGAAGATACATCAGTGCGCTCCAACCACCTGATCTCCTTCACAAACTCAACAGACACTTTATATATAAAGGGTGATCTAGGTTTCATTTTTGTGATTAAGGTACTACTTAATTAAAGGATTTGAATCTGTGACCTCTCTATTTCTAGGTTAGTGGTATTACCACTAGACCAATCCCTTGTTCGTGTGAAAACTGAATAGTTATTTCGTCGTTTATACGAAATATAGGCAGGACATATTTTTATAACCACATATCTCCTCTTCTTATCTCTTTACGGCGTCATCCTGTAAGGTCCCGTCGGAAATCGTCTTTTTGATATTCCACCATCGTCGGAAATCGTCTTATAACCACATATCGTTGCTTTTTGTTTGGGATTTTGTTCTCTGTGTTCGAAATTTTGATTGCTAATGATAGCCTTGGCCATCACGAGTCAAGAGAGTGTTCTTGCTTAAGACGCTGAACGATCTTTAAGATTTATTTTGACTATTACAAAAGCTGGTAATTAATATGATCTGCAGAAGCTATAGTAAATTCCAAGTCGATATGAGTATTACAATGAGCACTTCATCAAAAGAAAACTCGACAAATCCCAACACTGCTAGTTATAAGAAATTAAATTGGGTTATAGGTATAATATGCCTCTCTACAATGACGTTTTATCAAACATGACCCTTTATTATTTTTTACATCAAATATGCCCCTTTACTTTGTAAAAATGATCAAACATGCCCTTTTCTAAAAAAATTCATCCAAAAACAGTTAGCCAATGCCGAACTTTGGTTTTGGCGACACAAATGTCTAAAATATTTCTACTAAATTCACTTTAGAATTTTTTTTGGTTCTTTTGTATAGCCAAATAATTCAAATAATTTTACTTTGAAAAGACCCAGAGAAATGAAATGGGGGACATAACATTTTCCCTCCTATTTGTCGATATTGGGTCGTCTAAATCTCGATTCAATCATGATTGACGATTTTTTCAATAGAAATTTAACATAAGGGTATGTTTGATAGTTTTTTCAAAGTACAAGAGCATGTTTGATGTATAAAATAGTAGAGGGTCATGTTTGATAAAATGTAATAGTAGAAGGGCATATTATATCTATAATCCAATAAAATTCCGTCGCGATGATGAATGGTTGACAGAAAAGCTCATCACTCATCATCGATCGATTTAGTTCGACGCCATGCACGAATGATATTTTCTTGGCGGAAAATTGAGTAGTTATTATGATGACCATACACAAAGTAATAGATCGAGTTGTCTTCTTATCTCATTCTTATGGGGTAAAAAATTTTCTCGTCAAAGTTATGGGGTATACATTCTGTTAACTAAACAGAAACAGATCACGAACAGTACGAAATAGATGAACAAACACTGACACAGAGTTTACGTGGTATCCCTGGATATCCAGGACTAATCCACGGAAGAGCGTTGAAAGCTCTTCAGGCTACTGATTTTACTGAGATGAGTTTCAGAACACAACCTCCAGCCGACCTCTGCCTCCCTCACTTATTTAACCTACACGAGCTAGGTTAAGATCATCATCTGCCAATAATGTGCATGGGCCAAGACGTGTGCATGAGCTATGGGCTTATAATCAATGGGCCCTACATTACGTCTAAACTCCTACAGCTCAGTATAATCGCAACCAACCAAACATACATACACTTAACATCCTCCCCCAAATTGATGCCGATCCCTCAGCATCAATTTGTTCCCAAGATACCAATGCCTGCTGGTAGGAAATGCCTTCGTGAAAAGATCTGCTACCTGTTCTTCAGTGGGAAGATGGTGCAAACTGAGTGTACCATCACGAACGAGATCACGTATGTAGTGGACATGGATCTCGATATGCTTAGTGCGATCATGGAGAACGGGGTTTACGGCTATTCGAATTGCACTTGTGTTATCCACATGCAAAGTCATGGGCGCTGGACATAAAACACCAAAGTCAGATAGGAGGCGACGTAACCAAACCATCTCTGACCCAACCTCCGACATGGCACGATATTCTGCTTCGGTAGAAGATTTTGAAACTTTGTCCTGTTTCTTACAGCGCCAAGAAATGTAAGCACCACTAAATTTTACACACCATCCAGAAGTGGACCGTCGAGTATCAATACAGCCTGCAAAGTCAGAATCGGAATAGGCACTGATAGTAGGCTCCCCAGTAGCAGGAAACAAAATGCCTACATCCCGCGTCCCGTTTAGGTATCTCAATATTCTGTGAACAGCCGCCAGGTGATCAACACAAGGCTCGGTCATGAACTGACTAACCACTTGTACTGCATAGGAAATATCAGGACGAGTGGCAGAAAGATAAATCAAACTGCCCACGATACTGCGATATTGAGAGCCATCTTTAAGTCGATCACCGGAACCTTTCTGTAATTTTAGATTAACCTCCATAGGTGTCTTGACTGGATGACAAGTATCAAAATGATGATCATCAAGGAGATCAGAAATATACTTTCTTTGACTGAGTAAAATACCTTGATCAGAGCGGCTCACCTCAAGACCGAGAAAGTAGGATAGAGAACCCAAATCCTTGATACTGAAAGCTTGCTTTAAGCCATCCTTGAGCTTAGTAATACCCTGCGAATCAGTGCCGGTGATGACCATGTCATCAACATAGAGCAATAGAACGACAATCCCAGCAGTGGTAACCTTAGTAAACAGTGAAGGATCGTTGAGACTTTGCTGAAATCCCAACTGAACAATCGTAGCCTGAAATTTCTCAAACCAGGCCCGAGGTGCCTGTTTGAGACCATAAAGAGACCGATGAAGAAGACAGACTTGATCTTCACGACCAACTGTATATCCTGGTGGCCGTTCCATATATATAACTTCCTCGAGATCACCATGAAGAAATGCATTCTTCACATCAAGCTGGTAAAGTGGCCAATCGTATACTGCTGCCACAGCAAGCAATGTCCGAACAGTCGACATCTTAGCCACGGGAGCGAAAGTCTCATTGTAATCCACGCCATGCTCTTGAGTATAGCCAAGAGCAACAAGCCGAGCACGGTTGCGTTCCACAGTTCCATCGGGACGTACCTTAATAGCATACACCCACCGGGAGCCAATAGTCGGAGGACATGGAATTGGCCGATCAACAACAGACCATGTGCGATTTGCCTCTAAGGCTGTAAACTCGTCCTGCATAGCACGATCCCAGATCGGATTCCCACGAGCTTGCTTAAATGTTGTGGGCACAACCAATGTATCTACACTGTGGGCGACGTAGTCTTCAAAATGTGGAGGCGGAACTCCTTTATTAGAGCGAGTGGATTGCCTAGGCGCTGGTTGTACCACTGGAGAAGGCTCATTTGATGCAATCGGCGAGCTACTGGATGCATGTGAACTTGATGATGGTGTCGTAGATGGTGAGGTGTCAGTGGAGGGAGGAGACAAATCTTGCGTGGAAGAGGGAGTGGCAGGTTCATTGGATATAACAGGGACATCATCCACTTCTTCATCAAATATTGGCAAGGTATTTTCTCCACCAGGAAACTCAAAAGGTAAAGCTGGCCGATGGGAAAAGAACATCATATGCTCAAAAAATATGACCGAGGCTGCAATTCTCATGCGCTGAGCTGAAGGATCAAAACATAGGTACCCTTTATGAACACTACTATACCCCAAAAAGACACATCTAGAAGTTTTAGAAGTCAACTTTGTACGCTCACGTTTAGGAAGAAGAACGAAACATAAGCAGCCAAAAACTCTAAGACGAGAATAATCAGGATGATGACCATGAAGAGCATAATAAGGACTAGTTTGACCTATAGTAGGTGTGACCTGGTAATTAATGAGCTTGACGGCGGTAACAACAGCCTCTGGCCAAAACCGACCAGGAACAGATGAAGCAATAAGAAGGGCACGGGTGAGTTCCATAACATGTCTATTTTTTCTTTCAACTAGACCGTTTTGTTGGGAGACACCGGGACAAGACATCTGACTTAATATGCCTCGAGAACGATAGACCTCATGTAAGGGAATAGAGTTGAATTCACCTCCTGGATCAGATCGAATAATTTTGACAGTTTTACCAAATTGGGTTTGAATCATGTTAAGAAAATCAATGGCAACAGAACGGAGTTCGGATTTCAGACGAAGAAAGTATATCCAGGTGTATCGAGTGGCATGATCAATGAAGAGAGCAAAATATTTATAACCAAGCCTAGAAATAGTTGGGGAAGGCCCCCACAGATCTGTATGAATAATGTGGAATGGCTCGGTTATAACAGTAGTACTAGAAGGAAATGATGTACTAGAGGTTTTTGCTTCAACACAACTGGTACAAGAATGATTTGCTGAAATGCCAACATGGTTCTTGCCAAGGAGAGATTGTTTAAACATAACTGAAAGACGACCAGAGTGGGGATGCCCCAGACGGGCATGCCATAGTTCCCAAACTTTATTTGCTAAACTCGAAAAAGCTGAACCAACAAATGACTGAGGTTTAACAGACAGAGGAGGACTATTGACAGACCTAGACACACACTGATGAGAGCTCGAGTTATGAAAAGGAATATTGTCTTGCAGCTCCTCTAAATGAAATATCCTCCCCTGTTTACTCCCCCTTCCGATCTGTCTCCCCATCCTCAGATCCTGTATAACACAACCAGTAGGAGCAAACACAACAGCACAACCCTGCTCAGTAATCTGACCAACAGAAACTAAATTCGGCACTAATGCAGGAACATGTAAAGTATTAGGTAAAGAAATACTAGAAGTATGAACTTTACCAACACCTTTTACGTCCATTTTATCTCCATTTGCAACTGTCAAACCCACATGACTAATAGGCCGAATTGTATGCAAAGAATTTCCATCACTGGTCATATGATTATAGCATCCTGAATCAATCAACCAAGGTTTAGTTTTTATTTTACCTTGAAGCGTAGATAGTGCAGACCCAATTGCAGTAGGAAGCGAATTCTGAAGAGCAGCTACAGCCTGGACGAGTTGCTTAATTTGAGCTGCGGTGGTTCCACCACTAGATTCCCCGTATTCCACTGTATAAGAGGGCCTATAGGAACGTCCTAGAGTGTTGCGTCCAGCCCCTGCCTGCTGCACAGCTCCATTATAACGCTCAGCATTGCATTCCCGAGATCGACACTCCAGAACAATGTGGCCCATTCTCTTACAGTATACGCAGTAATTTCTGCGACGACAATGCTTTACCAAGTGTCCCTTCTCGTGACAGTGATGGCACTCGAGTGCGGCAGTAGGAACACGATTCTGAAATTGAGGCCTTGATACCGCAAAAGCATGAGAATTATAACCATGGTTCGAACTCATACCTGTCCGAGAAGACCCAGCAGATGCGGCGACAATTGTTTCGCCTTCACCAGGCCGCAAGTCAAACTGAGCTTGCGTTCTCAACCTTGTCTCCTCATGGACCAAGCTGCTCAATACACCATCAAACTGCAGCTCCTCACGATTCAGAATTGATGATCTTACATTCTCAAACTCGGGCCTTAGTCTCATAAGAAATTGCATAATCCGAGCTTGTTGCCTTTCAGCGAGGGAGTCTTCTGTCAATGACTGAGGGCGAAGTGTCATTTGAATCATGTCTTCTTCGGTCCATAACTCTTGTGCAGCATTGAAGTAGTCGGTGACCGAGCGATCCCCTTGTTCCAGCCGAGAGAGCGCCGTTTGAACCTCAAATTGGCGCACTGCATTAACAGAGGAATACAGCCCCGCAAGGTGTCGCCACATCCGATTTGCGGTGGGAAATAATCTTAGGCTGAGGCATGTAGAAGGATCCACCGATCCTAAAAGCCAGGACCTGATCCGAGCGTCATTCTGAGACCAGGCAGCTCGTTCTTGAGCGGCGGTAGCTGCCGCCGGTTGCGGAATTGTCCCATCCAAAATACCCAGCAGTCCTCGACCTTCAACGAACACCCGGAACTGGAATTCCCACAGAGAATAATTCGTAGAAGTGAGGCGTACAGTCGGCCTCTCCGATTCAGCCGCGGTGAGCTCTGATACCATGTTAACTAAACAGAAACAGATCACGAACAGTACGAAATAGATGAACAAACACTGACACAGAGTTTACGTGGTATCCCTGGATATCCAGGACTAATCCACGGAAGAGCGTTGAAAGCTCTTCAGGCTACTGATTTTACTGAGATGAGTTTCAGAACACAACCTCCAGCCGACCTCTGCCTCCCTCACTTATTTAACCTACACGAGCTAGGTTAAGATCATCATCTGCCAATAACGTGCATGGGCCAAGACGTGTGCATGAGCTATGGGCTTATAATCAATGGGCCCTACATTACGTCTAAACTCCTACAGCTCAGTATAATCGCAACCAACCAAACATACATACACTTAACACATTCAACGTTGATTATAGTGACGGGTGGACCGCTATTAATTATTTTTAGCAAAGGCCTGAGAATGGTCGCTAAAGAAAATGTTTTCGACCTCTAAATGTAGGTTTAATGAGCTTATTGGCCTGCGCTATGCAGCGGGTAGCGGTGGATATCTAATATTTAAGTCGTACTTGACTGAATTAGACTAAATCAATTTTTTTTTTATTGTTGCAAATTGATTTCGATTGTCAAAACACAGACACGGAGATATAGGGAATTAAACCTGGGAACTTCAGATTCAAACGCTTGTGGTATTATTATTAGGCTAACTCTTTGTTCATAAATGAGTCTTATTCTACTTTTATTGTATATAAGATCGATCTACATGAAGTATACATCTAGGGTTTGTTGCATGCAGCGTCCCCGCCGAGAATGATCATGATCTTCGCCGTCGACCGGGAGATAGGAAGGACTGCCGATAGTCGTCAGAATGCATCGGTACAGGCCAACTGCGGTTGGAGATTTGGAGTTGCAACAACAAGTTGTGCTCCGATGTTCACCCTGATTGGTATAGTGCCGATCCTTATTGCTTCCCCGGTTGCGACTGTTACAGTTTATCGCGAGGCTGTTCACGAAATGGGAGATTTAGGAGACTGGGAAATGGAGATAAAGCGCCAGGACCAGATGGATATGTACAATAGCTTAAAGGGAACTTGTTGACAGCTTTTGATGAATTTTATACCACTGGAATCCTGCCACAATAGCATAGCACACTCCTTCCTTAATTTTCTCGACTTTAAAATCGATACTATATGACTAAAATGATATATACCATGTTAGCGAACAAACGAAACGATCATGTAGTCCCAACAACTCAAACCATGCGTCGTTGGAAAAAAGGTTATGTGTGAATTTTAAGGCATAAAGCTTGGAGTTAACTCTCGATCAACCATTAACAAAAACAAACAAAACAAAACAAAACAAATGGGCATTGTCCTCTCCGCGCGCTGCAACAATTTACAGTGCATAAAACCAGCTGAAAAACAAATGAAGTCGCGATCTCTGCAATGACGGCGAAAAAAACCCCACGACACAAGAGAGAGCAGCAGTGAAGATACCGAAGTCGTCTTCACAAACTGTCACACTATATATATATATAGAGTATAGACAAGTAATTGCAGCAACATGCATACATTACTACAAGTGTAATTTTCAATATTAGCAATGGCGATGAAGATGCACCTTCTCAGTATTGCTCAGTTGGCGGCCGTCTTGCTTCCGCTCATAATATGGGTCGCCTTTCCTTCAACCGCATCGGGTAGAGCTAGTCCGCAGTCGGAGAATCTCGTCGACGCACCGGCCACTTACGTCATCAGGTATACATAGTTTTGTCGATGATGACGGTACTATTACTATATACAGCCGGTCGGTCTACCACGACGATATATTGCAGGAGTAACGATAGGACGTGTCGAATATTCGTGTGATTTTTACTTTTGTTTCATCAATAGATCTTGTCCCATCGGTCAAAATTAATTTGAATTATCGAAAAAAAGAAGACCAAGATCTTAGAAAAAACGAAGGGGATACAAATCGTTCAAAAAAATTAACGCGAAGAAAAATAATATGTATGTAGTAGTTGTAGGTAAATTAAGAAGACACGAATTATGTGTACGTACTTGTGCTTGCTAAACGTAGCTTGATCAACATACTTATATAATTATGTGTATGTAGTACGTACTTATTCTCGTCAGTTGATCAACATAATTGTTACACAATTTCATCGATCATGCAGCAGCAACCAGTACCAGAACTTGATCACGGCCTCTCAGCAGCTGCTACAGCCGAAAAGAGGAACGGGTGTAGTCTTGATACCTCGAGGAGCATCCAACAACAACAACAACAATGGTTCATCAGTAGAGGATACGTGCAATCCTTTTTGCAACGACAATGCATGTGGTAACTATTACCCATACATATGCGATGGTCAAGATCCTAACTATTGCAAGCCGAGCTGTGACTGCTCGACCAATACTTGTTATTGCTACTGCTCTCAATAAATATATATGTATTTAATGGAAGGGAGATCCATCGGGTCGATGATTCGATTGTTTCTCTCCTTTTTCTGGCTGGTGAGCCGATCGACAACCTAATAATCGCCGGCCGATTGGCTGCTTTCCATGTTTTTAGTTGGGTTATTCCAGTTTGTTTTTTTTTTTTAATATTCCCAGGCAGTTTTCCTTCCTAGGGATGAGTTGGGATTGCTTTGTATGGGGTTTTTTATTTTGTTTTGATAATTATATAAGTGGTCGATCTTATTATATCTTTGTTTCATCCAATATTTCATACTAAGATGTAATGACAATCTGAAATTTAGTTGAAGGTCTTAAAAGGGATCACATAAGCCTCATGGGCCGGGCCGGATGGAATTCCAGACTGTTTTGACAGATAAACTATTCGTGGTTTGACTCACAAATAATCCCAAATCTTATTGGGTGGTGTGACTAGATGGTGATTGAAAATTTTCTTTCTCCACTTATTCGAGTGGGATGGTTTGAGGGGTTGTGGATTCACACAAATGACATGTATCCCACTTTCACATGACAAAGAGTTGTTTTTTGTTTATACTATTATCATAATCTTAATCATCACACATTAGCCAATGACTTTTAAAAAGCAGGAAATAAATAATAATTTGGAACTACTACTATTGGTTATTATGTTGTGTCATGTGCATTTAATATTGGTATGCAAATTTAAAGTGTTGATTGCATCAAAGTTATAAAGAACATCAATTTTCTCTACACTAGGGCTGGGCATGCGGGCGCATCATCCGCGGGTTTGGGATGACCCACCAGCATTTGGCCCAAATTTTGTTATGTGGGTAGTCTGTGGGTGGGTGACGGGTTGTGCTGGGAGACATCCGCCGGGTGGTGGGTGGGTGTGCGAGTGACCCGCTCAACCCAATAGCAAAAAAAAAAAAAAAAGTCGTTGGCACTGAAGAAGGGAGAGTAGAGACATTAGACCGAAACTAGGGCTGCTCCTAGAGATTGAACCTCAAAACCAATCTTCCAAATCATGATCTCCTCTTCTTCCCTTTATGTATTCCTCTGATTCTTGTGCCTAGATCACCTCTCTTTCATCCGTTGAATTATTTTCCTTAGTTCCCTGCACTTGATAATCATCTCCATCTGTAGAAAGTTCTAATATCCATATTAGAACTTCAATCCAATTTCAGAACTAATTCGATATTTTTTTTTCCAATTTCATCTTCTTGTTTCCGCCGGATAACTCTCTCCACCTATTATCATGTCAAGTTGACTCCTTTATATTATGTATATTGTAATGTGGGTGAACCCGCAAACCCACCCGCATCATCCACCATCCACCCTACCCAACCCGAGATTAAATGTGGGTGGGTGGTGGGTTAAAAATTATTAATCCGTTTAAGCACGGATGGGTGCGTTTTATGGTCAAAATCCGCCCGACCCACCCAATGCCCACCCCTACTCTACACTACTAGTTAATGTAGTAAAGGAAGATTTAATTTGATACCTCATCCAAAGAATTTTAATATGATACCTCATCCAAAGAATTGAAATCTACTTGTCTCTAAGAATATGTGGTTAGTGAATTTGTTTTCTTTATCAATGAATACTTCACTCAAAGTAGCAATTGAGAAGTTGACATGAGTAATAAAAAAAATATACATGTGCCACAACTCGCAAGTACTCAACGGATCCACATGAGACAAAGTGAAAATTTTCTAAACTGCTAGTGTTTTTCTAATTTGCGACGAATTTATTATAAATATTAGTAAACTTGCCTAATGACTAGTTTTCAGGTTAACCCGCAACCCAACCGCATCCATATATGTACCCAGCACCCACCCAACTCTATAATGAATGTGGGTGGATAGTGGATCACAATTTTATCACTTCGTTAACAAGCGGGTGAGTCAATCTAAGACCGAAATCTTTCCTGACCAAGATGTTGGCCAGCACTGATCGTTAATTTCACATTCCGACATTTTCTAACCAAGTTATATATTGTCCACTTTAGATCCTACCCTGCTCGATTTTGCTTCTGAAATGGATCAACCAGCTGATACCCCCCTTTGAGACAAGCAATGGGAATTGTTTAATAACCGAAAAAGAAGCTAAGAGGAATTCCGGCTAATCCAGTTACGTACGCACGTTGATTTGTTATAGAAATAATGAAGAAGATCGAAATCCCAATCTTTGAGCACTCTTAAAATGACAGTGTCTATATATAGAAAAGCAGTTAGAAGTGACCAAACATTCATATGTAGCATTACCAATTACCTCAAACAAAGCTCAAACAAGAAACACAGAGTTAATTCAGAAGAATGGGCATGGCGATGATGGTGATGCAGCCCAAGATTTCCAAGTTGCCCTTCTTGCTCCCGCTGATAATTTGGGTCGTCCTCATTCCATGTGCGTTATTTTCCACCCTGATCATTCCATTCATTTTCTTCTTTCACATATATATATACACACATAAATATATACCGATATGGTAATGATTATTTCACTGCTGCATCAGGTCTTTGCCCTTCAGGCGAATCGAGAGAAGTTAGTTCCCGATACGATATTGCTCCGTCTGCTACTAACTCTTCCGGCGGCGGTACAGAGGTCAATAATGTCAGGTATTGGTCTCCCTTAAAAAAACACCCAATCACAAAATCAATATTAGAATATAAATAATGTTTCTCCATAACTCAAATTGTTAAATTTTTTTTCGAATTATGGATCTTACACCAGCCGCATTATATAATACTCACCATCACTAGCTTTAGAGCCTATAGAGCCAACATTGGACCAACCATTGTGAAAACGTACGGTACGATAATGGTAGAGTATTTCTATACTAAAATTGTGGTTTTAACCGTAATTCAACCGTTCCCTTCCGCTATAATTGCCTACATATTTTGGTCTGGTATATCCGGCCAGTATATTTTACGATTCATCATGGACACATGGTTTTCTCATTCATCCTTTCGGTTTAAGTACACAAACTTTGGCACTACAAGACAACATGTGCAAGCTTGCATTTGGAGACTAAAAAAGATAAAACATCAACTCAAACTAAAGTCTTAAAACTAACATGGACAATAAACTAAACTTGATGATGATAATTTCCTCTAAACCCTATGTCGATCCGGCCACTTTGACATTCTTCGTCTTCGGTTTGACTCTTTGACGATAACTTATAATAATATCTCCTGATATAAAACCGACCCACATATATCTTACATCTCGAATTTTTGTTGCATGCAATGTCCCCGCAGAGAATCATCACGATGATCTTCGCCGTCGACCTGAGGCAGGAAGGACGGCCGATTATAGTCGTCAGAATGCATCGGTACAGGACAACTGCGGTTGGAGTTGCAACGACTATATGTGCTGATCCTTATTGCTTCGCCGGTTGCGACTGTTACCAGATGAAATGTGTACAAATTTGCCCCACGCCACCTCCACCGTAGCTACGGATTGCATAATTAATCGCCATGAATAATGATGGAAAGAAGAAGATATCTATGCGCATGCTGGCAGCTTTTTCATTCTCTAATCTTCTCTCCTTTCTAGCTTGTACGGGGGAGATAGAGAGACAGAAACTATATATGTGCTTACTTGTAGTATTATACATGTCATAAATTGCCATCTTTAATGAATTATTCTTTACACTGTCAGAAACTCTGAATATCACAAACCACCCACTTGACCGGCATTGACCTAAACGGCCGGCCACCGGCGGCAGGGTGCAAGAGTTGTATGGGCCAGTTCCGCGCGCGGCAGGTAGGATTCCGACCCGATTAACCCGTCCGATCAACTCGATCCGCAACCCGACCGCAATCCGAATTGACTAAAAATCAACAACCCGTAACCCGCCCGACCCGCAACCCGATTGACCCGCAACCCGATTAACCCGCAACCCGACTGACCCAATTAACCCGAACCCGATTGACCCGCAACCCGATTGACCCGCAATCCAATTAACCCGAACCCAATTGACCCAAACCCGACTAACCCGTAACCCGACCGACTCAACCCGAACCTCACTTAGTCCACTTAAATAATTATTATAATATACAATACATAGTTTTTCAAAATAAAGTTTTTCATTCTAAACTTAGGTAAAATTATTTTTTCATTTCGTCTAGGAAATTTAAAAAATATGAAACTCACTTGATATTATGTATTTTAAGAAAATTACAAAAATTGAAACATGAAGGTCACTTGAATACTAAGTTCTTTAACAAAATTAAAAAAGTAAATATAAAATCAACATAATGTCAATATTAATAATGAAGAATTAATAATTGAGATCATGGACAATATTAATATAATATATAAATTAAAATTTTGGTTAATTCAACTATTCAATAAAATTATCAATTAAATATAAATAAAAAAAGTAATGTATTTGATAATTTGATGTTTTTAAAAGAAGAGGAAAATTTTGGTGTATTCAACTTTTTTGGAAGAGAAAGAAGAGGGAAATTTGGTTATTTGAATTTTTTAGAAAAGAAACAAGTGGAAAATTTTGGTGGTTTGATTTGTGGGAATAGAAAGAAGTGGGAAAGTTTGGTTCTTTTGATTATGAAAGAGAAATAAGGAGGGAAATTTTGAGTTTTCAACTTTTTGTGGAAGGAAGGAAGAGGGAAAATTGGTTTTTTCAATTTTATGGAAGAGAAAAAAGAGGAAAATTGAGTGTTTCTAATTTATGGAAGGAGAAAAAAGGAGGGAAATTTTAGTATTTTTTTTGTGTGAAAAGAAAGAATGAAACAAATTTGGTGTTTTCAACTTTTTGGTTTTTCAAAATTTTAGCCTTTGAAATATGAATCTTTAGTTTTTATATGGAGGGCATGACTAGTTAAATTTATTCTTATATGCTTTGAAGGCTAGTATATATATATATATATGTAATTGTTTATGGGCTATAAATAAATTAACCATTAGTTACAACAACTATACTAAACTTGATAAGTAATCTTTGACGGGTCGTTGTTTAGGGTATAAAGTATATTGGTTAGGGTAAATGGTATAAGGTACAAATGGTTTAGGGAGTATATGGTTAGGGTATAAGATATTGATGGTTTTGACGGTTCTAGGTTTTTTATTAACATATGTTCACTTGAAGTCATTTGATGTCTTTAACGGCAGGAGATCCCTTTTTAATTTATGTTTGTGGTATGTGGTTAGGGTACAAGGTATATGATGTAGAGTATAAGATATATGGTTAGGGTATAGCAATTAGCAAATATCACTTTTTATCTATGTTTTGAAAATCAAAGTATGAATTTCAGTTTTAAATTAACTATACTAGCAAAATCACAACTCACAAGGACATATGGTTAGGGTATATGTATGTGGTTAGTGTATAATGTATTGATGGTTTAGGGTATACAATCAACAACATATACTAACTTAATATTGTTGATTGAGGGTAAGGCTAAGTGTATAGGATATATGTTATTGAGTAAGTTATGATTGAAGTCCCAATAATTTTACTAGATTTGATAGTTAATCTTTAATGGTTCAATTTTTCAGGATAATTCGAACAATTTTACATATAACTCGTTTGTCAACAGTTTACTGAAGTTATTTGGGCAATAAGTTATTTCGAAATAACTCCTTTTATCACTATGCTTTTGCCTAATACCACACGCCAAATACCACATTTGCATGGTTATACTAAATGAGATACTTTAATCCAATTACACTACTGAAATATACTAAAATATCAAATAAATAATTAATGGTATCTTTTGGTTGTAAATATTGATATCACCATTACTATAAGCTAGTGTACTTTACCAATTACGATTAATTACATAACAAGTTTGCAAGTCATACAAATTGATTTAACATTTTGACTCGTTTTTTTTCAAAAAATTAAGTATATATATACGAGGTAGAAATAAATTGGTTAAAATAAATATATTGTTTTCAAATAAAGTTTTTCATTCTCAACCTAAGTAAAATCATTCACATTTAGTTAAGAAAGTTCAAAATCTGAAATTCACTTAAAATTATGGTTTTTAATTACAAAAATTATGACATGAATTTCTTTAACCAAATTACAAAAAAAAGTAAATATAAAATCAGCACAATGCTAATCCGATGAACCCGCAACCCGACTAACCCGCAACCCGATTGAACCCAGTCCGAACCCGCCCGATTGACACTTATAGGTAGGAATACCATAGCCGCCTAAGAGGCAAACGGGCTACCAAAGGCCCACTTCACAAGAGGCCACAACCCACAAGTTTGGTTTCTGTTTATATATTTGAAGCCCATCCCAACGTAATAAAGACAATGTATATGTAGCCCACCCCCGACCCAGAACGTCGCATCATAACCAAGTGATTCAACATTCCCTTGCTCTTCTGGTGTTTGAATTTTTTACTAATATCTATATGCAGGATAGCTCCCCGTACGAGGACAGAATGCCGAAAGACTCGTTTCCCCGGATGTCGCAAGCAGAAGCAGCAGCCATGTTTAGACCTTTCAGTATCCAGGATTTCCATCAAGTTATCTTCGACATGTAGCCGTTCCAAGCCCCAGGTCCAGATGGGTTCCAAACAGTATTTTACCAGCAGTTTTGGCAGGTGGTAGGGAAGGCTCTCTCCGAGATGGTTGTTTCCTTTTTCACTACAGGTACACTTCCAGAAGCCGTGACGGAGTCGACGCTTGTCCTCATACCTAAAGTGGATTCGCCGGAGAGAGTGACACAGCTTCGGCCTATTTCTCTGAATAACGTGTGCCTGAAGAGTATTACTAAGGCCATTACTTCGAGGCTGAAACCCCCTATGAGGAAGTTGGTCTCTCCGAGGCATAGCAGCTTCATTCCAGGCAGACAAACGACGGACAACATTATTGTTGTTCAAGAGGTCTTACACACGTTGAGGAAGAGGCGAGGGAAGAAAGGCGGCATGATCTTCAAAATCGATCTAGAAAAAGCTTATGATATGCTTCGGTGGGACTTTGTGCGGGATACTCTGAAAGAGGTTGGGCTGCCGAGCAGTTGGATTACCTGTATCATGTACTGCGTGGAGCACAACACCATGAGAATCCGTTGGAATGGAGAATTGTCTCAGCCGATTACCCCGTCTCGCGGAGTCCGTCAGGGAGACCCCCTTTCCCCTTATCTCTTTGTGCTTTGTATGGAAAGGTTATCTCACAGGATCGATGAGGCGGTTAGCAATGGGCAATGGAAACCTGTACGGTTAACCAATGCCGGGCCGCCACTGACTCATCTTTTTTTTGCAGATGATCTCTTGTTGTTTGCAGAAGCAGAAAAGAGGCAGATCCGGGTCATCAAGCAGTGCCTAGAGGATTTCTGTTACAGCTCGGGACAGAGAATCAATTTCAGCAAGTCTATCCTCTACGTCTCCCCGAACGTTGCTAGGCACAAGGCAGAGGATTTGAGCACTTGTTCGGGCATCCCTTTGAAAGCTGCTCTTGGGAGATATCTTGGCATCCAGGCAATCCAAGAAAGAGTCACCAGAGGGATATACCAATCCCTTATTCTGCGCATTCAAAGGAAAATGGCTCCTTGGAAAGCGAAACGCTTATCCTTCGCAGCTAGACTCACAGTCGCTAAGTCAGTGACCGCTTCTTTGCCGGTCTATACGATGCATACTGAATTGATTCCTAGTGGTGTGTGCAGGAACATTGACAAGATTACTAGGGATTTTGTCTGGGGAGCGGAAGAGAATCGGTCCAAGCTGCACCTGGTGGCTTGGGAGAGGCTGACGCTAGCAAAAGATCAGGGCGGGGTGGGTCTGCGTCCAACCCGTCAGGCTAATTTGGCTATGTTGGCCAAGAGCGCCTGGCGCCTTCTTCAAGAGAAGGATAACCTGTGGCGACAACTGCTTCTCTCGAAGTACGGAGGGCAAAGAACAGGGCTTGATGTTCTACGGAAAAATCAGGGAAGTTCCTTCACCTGGAGTAGCTTCTCTAAAGCTGCTGACCTTCTTAAACAAGGTTGTGCGTGGAATATTAAAAATGGGAAAAAGACTAAATTCTGGTGTGATCCGTGGATTTTGCAGGTTCCCCTGAAGGAAGTCATGACGGGAGACTTGTCGGGAGAGGCAGAAGAAGCAGTGGTAGCGGACTTTGTTCGGGACGATGGGAGCTGGCGCACGGAGCTATTTTCCAATCTGCTTCAACCTGACATTTGCGCCAAGATCACTAGCACGGCCGTTGATAAGATCTCTCAAGAGGAGGATACGTTGTTCTGGTCTCCGTCCGCTGATGGTCGCTTCTCCACCAAATCAGCCTATGAACTCCTTTCTCTGCAGGATCAGCAGCCTCGGGATGGAATTTGGAAGGCAATATGGCGTCTCCCAGTTCCGGAGCGGATTAGAGGTTTCGTGTGGTTGGCAATACAGGGAAGGATAGCAACGAATGTGCTCCATTTTCAGAGTAAGGTGGCGGAGTCTCCTTGCTGTCCGCGTTGCGAAGGGCGTCCGGAAACAGTTCTCCACATTGTGCGCGACTGTGCTCCTGCTCTCTACTTTTGGTCCAGACAGGTCCCTCAAGGAAAGCAGCAGTTCTTCTTCAGCGCCAACCATGATGAGTGGTTTCGCAGTAACCTGTCTAGTCAGGAGACTTCCACGTCGGGGATCAACTGGCCGGGTTTCTTTGGTATGACCATATGGCTCCTTTGGAAGAACCGCACTACTGCTGCCTTCAAAGGTATAGGTGCGGCTCTCACTGCACCATCTCTTATGCACTCTATTATCACCAAGAGTAGAATTTGGAATGAATCTTGGCAGGCCCCGGAGCTGTTCCTTAGCCATAAGAAGCACAAGGCCGATCGGGTGATAGCAGCAGTGGGGTGGACTCCGCCAGCAGAAGGGTGGGTAATGGTAAACACGGATGGGGCCTCGAATGGAAACCCGGGTCCGGCCGGGGCGGGCGGTGTTGTCCGTGATACTCTGGGAAACTGGTTGGGAGGATTCGTCGCCAACATTGGTAGCGCCACTGCCGCCTTAGCGGAGCTCTGGGCCATTTTCTATGGCTTAGAACTGACTTGGAAACTTGGTTTTCGGGTGGTGAAGGTAGCCACCGACTCGCAGCTTGCTATTCAGTTGATTCAGGATCGTCATGATCCCATCCACCCCTATGCCACTTTGTTGAGTCTCATTCGGCGGAAGATGGGTCAAGATTGGTTGGTTAGTCTGACGCATACATACTTAGAAGGGAATAGAGTCGCGGACTGGCTCTCGAAGCACAGTCTCGTCTATCCCTACGGTATGTATGAGTTGGCTGATCCACCTATGGACATGGTCGCGATTCTCCAGGATGATGCTAGAGGCACTACTTTTGATCGCCGTATAGTGGTCAATCATCCCCCTCCTATTTAGCCTCCCCTGTACTCCTTCTCTTTCTCTGGCCTTCGGCCTCCCCTGTATGCAAAAAAACAAAGTGATTCAACAGTCAAATGAAATGATTCAGTGATTAAACATTCGAGTCAAAATAGTTAGGTTTTATTTATGAAATTTGGAAATGGAAGTGTTGAAGGCTAGTGATATTATCACTAGATCAAGCTATTCTTCATTTAATTTTAGTCGTTATTGAGCTTTTATATGGCATTCCTTTTTAAAAGCTCCTCAAACAATAGTCTACATGTTAACGAAAAAACCATTTAGTCTTAATTACTCGAATAGTTGAGAAATGTTAATATACGACTTTTGTACTACTTCTAGGGTTGGACATTCGATTCTCGGTTAGCGGTTTACCGATCGGTTACAATCGAAAGCGGTCGGTTATCCACTAACCAAAAACCGGGATAACCGAAGGTCGGTGTTCGGAGGCTGGGCGAGATGGTTTTGATATTGGGAGGCGGTTTGGTTTAACCAAAAACTGGGATAACCAAATCCTTGATCCCTCTTTCGGTCGGTGATTCGGTTAACCATTAATCTAATATTCGATTTTCGATTAAACTGAAACCGACCGACCTCCAGCCCAAACTACTTCCTTATCCTAACCCTTATCTTATATACAGGGGAGGAGCTACATAGAGTATAGGGTGGGCCCCGGCCCACCCGGGATTAGTCTCGACCCCTAGGATCCTAAGGATATATAGATAAAATTTGAATAAGTACAACTCGGTTGTATATTGTGTAATGTAATATTGATGTAGTCTATTGGTAGATAAGTTTTATTTTTATTGAGAAGCACAGATGTTCGATCCACAATTACCTTACATTTTGCTTTAGCCACTCCTTTTTTGTTCTTTTATTACTTTAATCCAACTTCATATGAAAAAGTCAACCTCTATTTAATTTTCACTTGGTTATTTTTCTAATTAAAATTCTTATCATTCTCCTATAGAGAAACTATATGATCCAGGGATTAACAATATGATTGTCAAAGGAATTAAAATGATGAGTTTCTTGTTAATGATTTAGTTATTTATATAAAATGAAAGATAGCTAAACTTTTTAGTTTAGATGCTATTTTGAACAATTATCTCAAAGAATGTTGTGTACTTTTAAAATAATTATTTTAGTTTTATTTATATTTAATTATTTTCGGCCCACCCGGTCTCGAAATCCTGGCTCCTCCCCTGCTTATATATATATATCTTATATCCGGTTGGTCTCTAATGTGAAGCATTTTGGGTTATGGGTAGAATAGCATACATCTACAGAGTTCTTACTAGGGGTGGCTATACGGTCCGGTCCGGTTAAATTGGCCCAAATTGATCCGGTCCAGTCCGGTCTTTTTGAAAATATAAGGACCGAAGATTGGATTGGATACAGTCCGGTCTTGATCCGGTCCAGTTTTGATCCGGTCCAGTCCCAATTCGGTCTTGATTTTACATTGAGATTGTGGGATTTGAGTGGCCTAAGGCCTTAAAGGGTGAGGAGTTGGTTAAGTTTTGTACTAAGTGCAAAGGTTTGTGACCGTTTATGCAAATTACCCATAAGTTTTGGGTGTTGAGCTCTCTTATCTGGTTTTTATCTGGTTTTTTTACCTCAAATCTAAGCCCAAAGATTGGATTGGATTGTTTACTATCCGGTCCCGGGTTATACGGTCCGGTTTCCTGTTTTTAATCCTGTCCCGGTCCAAATAGCCACCCCTAGTTCTTACAACAAAGAAAATTACGAAGAGGAAGAATAGCTTAATTATAACCCTTCCAAGCTACTTTATTATTGGTCGCATCGTTAGCCGTTGAAAATTGAAATCGTTGTGGGGTCGGTTAGCATGCTAACCCCCCTTAGGGGTTGGAAAAATGACACCCCCTAGTATATTAAATACAACTATAGAATTTAATACACACATTAAATACACATTAGAAATTAAATGTACCATATTAATTAGGAATTCTCTCACTATTAAATACACATTAGGAATTAAATACACATTAGGAATTCTCTCACTATATTTGATTTTTCCTTTTTCAGCAGTCTCCGACCACCAGACTTCCTCCGACCGCCACACTTCTCCGATGAAAATCCCATCGGCAGACTCCCTCCGACCACCTCCAAAAAATATACCACTGCACTGATACGGTGTACCACTGTACTGGTAGATATACCACTGCACTGATACGTTGTACCACTGTACTGGTAGATATACCACTGCACTGGTAGCGATATCAGTGCACTGGTAGCAATGTCATATCTGAGTATCAGTACAGTGGTACAAATACCAGTAAAGTGGTAATTAATGTAGTGTATTTAATGCTTACTTTGTATTTAATAACAGAACATTTATTATGTTTACTTTCATTAATACTTGTCAATAATTAACGAAAAATTGACCAATTAAAATGGGGTGTCAAAAAACCAACCCCTTAAGGGGTTGGCATGCTAACCCGTCCCAATGGTTGTTGTATCATAATTAAGTAGCGTGAAAATACTCTCCAAAAGAGGAAGTATCATATTAATTGTTTTTATCTCATGACGGCGAGGCCAATGAACCAAAGCTAAGAGAACCAAATAATAGATGTGGATAGAGATTACCTTGTTTCTTGGCTTCAGAACGTATATATAGATACCAATAGTAGTATTGAATATTTTGCATACATGGATGTGTTTAGCATTCAAGTAAGAGTATATATAAAATGGACGAAATTTGAAAAATGAGATGACCTGACGCCACACAAAAATTGATGGATCTTGTTAAAGAATGACACGAAATAAACAGGGCTGTAGCTAGTGATCCCTGCAATACTGGGCAAAGCACGAACTAGCACTTTCTTGCTTAGAATGAGTGATTCGTCATTCAAATTGCTAGATCATTCCACCTTTCAGTCACTATGATTAGAAGCTGGTCTTAAGTCTCATATTTGTGTATGAAAAACGTTCATGATAAACATATTATAAGGTGATCACAACTACTGTATATGCCTTTGTTTTGCTTTGTTGTAATCTCCAATGGTTATAACCCTAGTCTTGTGTCTTATAGCCGGTTGGCCTATATATAATATATAGTAAGAAACATTTTGGGTTTTGGGTTTCAATCTTCTCATACCATATATTATTCATAGACAATGTGTCTATTATAGAGTTACAACCAAATCCCTTCGCTCGACACCTTATCCCGTCCCTCGGTTCCACGTATCAACCAACTCTCTTCCTCAAATACCTTCAATCATCATGGTTTTGTGGTGTTTGAGAACCGGGGTCTAATACCAACTGTTACGCAGATGCGCCTTTCGGGGCGGAATTCTAAGTGTCGAATCTTTGATCCCCGGATTGTAGGATACGTTTCTCTGACGCTCTCGAATAATGGATCTTGTTTATGTCGAGAACAATCCCAAAATAGCTACGAAACTACTAAACCAAACGAAAAAAGTAATAAAAGCAAACAAAACATAACTTGAGTTTCAATCTTCTCATACCATATATTATTTGCAGACAATGTCTCTATTATAGAATTACAACCAAATCCCTTCGCTTCCCTCACAAGAAACATTAAAATAAATACTAAACAAGAAGTAACACATCTTCTAATCCAACTAGAACTACTACTACTAACTGATAATAATTCATACTAATAATCAAGGTTCAAAAAGGCGCTAGGCGTAAGGCGGGCGTTGAGCCTTTGCCTTGTGCCTAGCTCGCCTAGACGTAGACTAAGCGTGCCTAGGCGTTGGAAGAAAAATAGCTATTCGCACTGCATGATGAGTGAAATAATTATCTACAACACTTCCTCACTTCAGTTAAAATGATTAATAACTTACTCAACACTTAATGACAAGAACATAGCTCGCGAATTCATAGAATCATAGCTCAATAGCTCACAAAGTTCTTGAGTTGTTGAAAATATTGCAATAGAAAATTGATTTCGTAGTTGATGTTAATTTTTGGCCTTTAATATTGACTTACTAGCTCCATCTAGTAATGTTAAGGAGAGACTTATATGTCGCCTTACTCCATGACGTGTTCTAGTATCTAATTAGGCGTGAAACCCCTAGACGAGGCGTTTTGCTATTGCCTTGCGCCTAGGCGTGCCTAAGCGTGAGATTAAGCGTGCCTTTTTGAACCATGCTAATAATAGACCCCCTACTCGTGCCGTAACAAACCCATCGCCGACTTTAACTTGTTGCTGAATCGCGGACCTCGTTTTTGACGTCCATTGAAATCAACGAGCATCAGGGTTGTCACGCCGGCCGGCGTGTCACCGGTTGAACCAGGTTCAACCGATACCGGTCGTAAAACCGGCGTGACACCATCGGTATGACCGGCATGATCGATATACGAATCTCTAAGTAAAATGACCTTATTTTAGTGAGTTTAATTGATAAAAATAATTTTATTATTTATTTTATGAGTATAAAAGTTAAATATTAATGTTATTTGTTGGATTCAAGTATAAATATATAAGTATTGACATTAAATGTCATGTTTAAATATGAGTATTTATAATTTTATTTGTAATATTGACCGACATGAACTGGTACAAACCGATATGTGCCACCGGTCGAACCATTCCACTTGCTAAACCGGCACACTGGCATAAACCGGTTTGGCAACCTTGACGAGCATTCATCGGATTGGGTCGTTAGTTATTTATATATATTAGGCTAATATGATAAAAAGAGGGTTTCTTCCTGTAAAAACATCGCAGGATCGACCGTCAATTATATATGCAGATGTCTGATATCCAGATCGAATAACAACTTTTTGTCTTTTACGTACTTGCATGTCCCTATACAGTGGCGGAGCCAGAAAATTTGTCAAGGGGGTGCTTGTTCATGTAATGAAAAAAATTAACTATACAATAAAAAAGTCAACTTTAAATGAAAATATGAAGTCAATAACATAATAACCAAAATTCGTACAATTACATAATAATAGTTATACACACATCGCCTACAATGAACCTCGACGATTGTATGCACGGTTGGGGAAAAGTTGCAGCTTGCTTGCTACCTCGTGATTACGGCTCTTCCATTTCCGGAGATGGAGAGCTTGGAGGGTGGACTCGCCGCCGTTGGAGGATGGAA